AGTCTAGGCTATAGGCCTATATATAATATATAATATATATTCTAGGCTATATATTATGTATTATGAATTATGATATTGAAATGCCATAGAATGTATATTATATTAGTATCTTATCTAGCTAGATCTAGATCTAGATTTTTTTCTAGTCTAGCTAGACTTACTTATTAGGCCTACTTATTAAATATTATTATAACAGATTGACGATAGAAGCATATAGTTGTATATAACATTTAATGGTCTAACTACATAATGGTACAAAACAGAGAGGAGGCCGGAAGGAAGTACAATCACAAGGGACATCACTCAAGATAACAATATAAATATAATACTAATACAGAAGAGTGAGTTCCCCTGACCTCACAATTATCTCACTTTATTACATCCCTTTACCCTTAGAACACAACAACACATCTCTCAATAGAACAATTGATGGTATCCTAAAATCACCAATTATATTGTAACATGAACATTATGGTAGATTACATCCTTACAAACAATGCACAATATGCCACAACATAATCAAGATACAAAACAATGATGTCAAAGTCCTTTTGACCTTTAAAATCATAGGTCTAACTTATTTGGGACTTTGATTATCCTGCTTGACCTTCTCAGTGGCTTTTGATTTGGTGACTCAAGATTCTGACCATTTGGATTCTCTATCTCAGGAGGTCTAGGATTTAAATCATTAACTCCAGAATTTACATTTTCTGACTCCAGACAACTTGGTTCACTCATATCAACAGAACTTGGTTGTGAAACAAACTGAGTTGATGTGAACTGTTCAGATTAGGTGGGATTGACAGATTCACACTTATTATCTGCACAAGTTATTTTTAACTTTATAAGGCACAGGTCCTGTACATTGAACAATTTGACCTGGTATCCATTTTTCCTTTCTCCCATAATTTCTTAGATACACATTCTTATTAACACCAAATTCTCTTTCAATGAATGTTGTCATGATCTAATGGAACTATTTTTGAATTGGCATCTGAAAGTATTATGCTGTTATTCAGATCCTTGACTGACATAGATTTCTTTGATTGATCAATTTCCTCAGGTAATCTGATAGTGCTTTTTGGTAACCAAAAATACTGTTTAAAAGTAATATCCTGGACAATATCACTTTGCAACTGTGATCCAGTATTTGAAGTGGGTGTATTCAATGGCAAAAATCTTTGCTCTTTACTTTTGATGTTACCCTTTTAGTTTCTGTAAGTGCTAATGATGTTAGCAAAGTTGTTTGATGATCACATTCCTTCTTACTAATGTATTCTCTTTAAAACATTTGAAATTGCCATATCACCATAATCATTTATTAAGTTACAAATACTTTGTTTAGGCAACTCTGACTGATAATGGACTGCATCTTCTCCATCTTTTATATTATCTTCACAAAGGGTTTTAATTTCTTATTTTATATGGCCTTAAGTCATCATTCACAGACTCTTCAGGCCAACCATTCATACAGTGCTCATATACTTTTATTAAGCACTCATCTTATTGTGTTTCTCTCTTAATATCATTCACATTTATATTGGAGTTATCCATGATAGTGAAGAAAACAAATACATCTTCTGGTACATAGCTCAGGCTTTGGTTTTTTAAAGGTAATCTACTAAGACTATCTGCACTATTCTCAGATCCAGGTTTGTATTTCAATTCATAATTGTATGCAGTTAGTGTGATAGCCCATCTTTGAATTCTTGGTGAGGCATGCTCAGGTAGGGTTTTGTTTTCTCCAAATAAACCTAGCAATGGTTTATGATCTGTAAAGATGGTGAACTTCCTACCAAACAGAAACTTATGAAATTTCTTAACACCAAAAATGATGCCTAAGCCTTCCCTATCTAACTGAGAATAATTTTTCTCAGCCTGGTTCAAAGATCTACTGGCAAAAGCAATGGGTCTGTCACCCTTCTCATCCATGTGGGACAAGACTGCTCCTACACCATCTGGTGAAGCATCACATGTTAATATAAGTCTTTTCCCTGGGTCATAGTGAGTTAGTAAAGTGTCAGCAGACAAAGCCTCTTTTGCTGTATTAAAAGCAGCTTCTTGTTGTTTACCCCAGTGCCAAGTTGCATTTTTCTGTAGCAGCTTGTACAGTGGTGATAGTTTACCAGACAGATCTCCTATGAACTTTGCATAGTAATTTATTAAGCCCAAAAAAGCTCTTAGTTGTTGGGTATTTTCAGGTTTGGGTGCTTCTTTAATGGCTTTTGTTTTCTCAGGTTGAGGTCTGATGCCTTGTTTGCTCAATATATAACCAAGAAAACTAATTTCTGTCAGCATGAATTGACATTTATCTTTGTTTATCTTTAAACCTTTTTCACCAACAATTTTCAAAACTTTATCTAGTGTTTTAAGATGTTCAGTGTCATTCTTACCAGTTATGTACACATTGTCAAAGTACACACAAACATTTGGAATATCCTTAAAAATACTGTCCATGACAGCTTGGAAAATTCCAGGGCTAGATGATATGCCAAAACATAGTCTTTCATATTGGTAGAGTCCTTTATGTGTGTTTATTGTCGTATAGACTTTTGAATCTGGATGCAGTTCTAGTTGAGTGTAAGCATGACTAAAGTCTAATTCAGTGAATTTGTCTCCTCCTGCCAAGCTCAAAGAAATTTCCTCAATGTTAGGTATAGGGTACCTATTTAGCTCTATTTGCTTATTCAGTGTAGTTTTATAATCTCCACAAATTCTTATAGAACCATCCTTCTTTAACACTGGCACAATGGATGACGCCCAATCGGAATAGTCTACCTTCTTTATGATGCCATTAGATTCCAATCTACTTAGCTCATTTTCAATTTTATTCCTCATTGCATAAGGTGGAACTCTAGCTTTGCAGTATCTTGGATTTGTGTCTTTAATGCTTAACTTCACTGTTCTATCATTTAGTAATCCTGGATTACTAAAAACACATTTATTTTCAGATATTACTTTATCTAGTGAAGTAAGACTAGATTCTTTTACATTCTTCAATGAACAAATACTCTCCCAATTTAACTTAAGATCACTTAACCAGTTCCTACCTAGTAATGGCGGTCCATTTCCTTCAACCACAAGAAGAGGAAGTTTAACACTTTGACCATTATAACTTACATGAACCATACACTCTCCTATTACCGGAACATTGTCACCAGTGTATGTTGTTAGACACTTGTGACATGGCTGTAGAGGCACTGATCCTCCTGTGACAGCGTCAAAGTCCTTCTTTGTTATGACTGTTAGAGATGCTCCAGTGTCAAGTTGGAAGCTGATGCTCTTACCGTTGATATTAACTTGTACATTGATGGGAGCATGACTTATTGATTTCACAGAGAATAGGTTGAAATCCGGCTGCGAATCAGTTTGAGCATTTTCACAGGTAGAGTGGTTCATTGGTTGGGTTAGGTAGTCTTGGTGAGAGTTAACATAGTGCTGCCTTTGGTTGCGGTACTGTCTTGACTGGCTAGATTTAGCAACAGACGAAGACTTTGCAAAGCAGGCCTTGGCAATGTGACCTTGCTCACTGCACTTATAACAAGTTGCAGACTTGAACTTGCACCGATGAGATGCATGGGGACCTTTGCATCGATGATATTTTTGATAATTATTACTAGATTTAGATCTAGGATTTGAACGAGCAGGTTGTTTAGCATAAGTTGGAATGCTCTGATGGGGTTGATGTTTATTGACTAACCTGCTGTTTACTGCATGGATCTCTGAAGGTGCTAAAGATCTCGCCGCATCTGATGACTGCTGGATTGACATTGCAAGTTGTATTGCTTTTTCCAATGTTAGATCTGACTCGAGCAGCAACTTTCTTTGAATATCAGGACTGTTTACACCTGTCACAAACTTTTCACATAATCTGTCAGACAGCGTGTCTCCGAATTCACAAAATCTACTTAAATGACGTAAAGCAGCAACATATTCTGATATTGACTCGTTTGGTTGACGAGTCCTACTGTCAAATCTAGCTCGACATAGAAACTTTGATGGGGTAGGCGCATGGTGGTCTGTTAGCAATTTGCTCAGCTCGTTAAAGCTCTTGGTATCTGGACTAGCCGGTGCGCATAAGTCCTTTAGTAGCCTAAATTGTTGAGGCCCTATGACTGTTAACAAAACAGCTCTCTTTTTGGCTTCTATCGTCACGTCGTTAGCTTCTAGGTAAAAGCTTAACCTCTCTAGGTAATCTTGAATGATTTCATCATTCGCATCAAATTCTTTCATTTGGCCATACAGCGCCATAATTCTAGAAATAATTAGCTAATAAGCTCTAGCAAACCTCTTTTTTGCTTAAGTAGGTGCTCTTTCTAGTAGATGTTTATCCTTCGTCGCCAATTATAACAGATTGACGATAGAAGCATATAGTTGTATATAACATTTAATGGTCTAACTACATAATGGTACAAAACAGAGAGGAGGCCGGAAGGAAGTACAATCACAAGGGACATCACTCAAGATAACAATATAAATATAATACTAATACAGAAGAGTGAGTTCCCCTGACCTCACAATTATCTCACTTTATTACAATTATAATTATACTAGGCCTCTTTCTAGATCTAGTAGTAGTAGGCCTATGTATGTATTACTACTATTACTATTAAAATTAGTATTATTAGACTTTAGACTAAAATTAACTAGATCTAGATCTAAATCAAATCAGTAAATTAAATGTAATCTACTAACTATTAACTATAGGATAGAAGAGTCCTTATATACTACTTATAGTATTTAGGCCCTAAGTATAATATTTAATAATACTAATAGTATTAGCATTAGACTATATTATTAGGCCTATCTAGTATCCCTATACTATATATAGAGTCTAGCTAGAACTAGACTAGCCTAGAATATTAAATAGAACAAAAGAAAACGATTTCTCAACGGGAATTCCAAAAATATAGATCTGCATACGTGGTGGAGGGCGGATAATGCCGCAATGGCAATGGGAATTCCCAATCCAAATTTGCGTGGCAAGTATTTTTAGGCAAATTTAGTAGGATGTATCAATTCTCTCGACATTTTTCTAGAATAATGTCGATGTGTGGATTAAGTTTTCTTCGAAAAAGTAAATAGACTGAAAATAATTAGATCTAGATTATCTAGATCAAGATACAAACTGTAAAATTACTGTATTACTTGCAGTTTGCAGCGAATGGTAAGAAAAGTTAATTAAAATAAACCAGTATTGGCAGTATCGCTATGCACTCATTCATAGTTCATAGCTATGATAGATTCATAGTAGATCTAGATCTAGATCTAGACTCTAGTTGATAGATCTAGACTAGTCTAGATAGTTTCACAGTTCATAGCCTTCCGCCTACATGCAACTAGATCTAGATCTACTAGTCTAGACTAGATTCTAGATCTAGAATCTAGTTCTAGATTTTCTAGATCTAGAATCTAGATTCTAGATCTAAAATCTACATACATTTGAGTGATTTAACTTTTAACTGTTTTAACATTACAAAATATTTATTATTAATAAATAACGGGTGATTAGTTATAAGTTATAGATCTAGGTCTAGAATCTAGTAATTAAGTAAGTTTACTTTAATACTTAGCCTACATTATCATACTCATAGTTCATTAGGCGTAATAATTCATATCATAATAAATTAATAGAATGCTTTAGGCCTATTAGTATTAGTTTATGACACACATTTTGTGAGTTGACTTACACTACTGTCATTGACTATTCAGTATTCATATGCCTTATTAAATTTATTAATTTATTAGGCCCTATAGGCTATAGGCTATTATACGTACTAGATTTAGACTAGATCGAGTATTCTAGATCTAGATCGATATTTATCTATTATAATTATATTTATAGGCCTATGAACTTCATAGGGATGAAGGTTAATTTTTTAGATGTTTGGAGTATGTAATTTTACTGCTAATTGTCCTTTTTTACAAGATTTTATTAAACTTGCTGTCTTTCTGACGTTAGTCTGTCGACAGTCTGTCTGTTTTCATAGATCGAAACGGGCGAGCGAAATTTCAGGCACTTCTAACAGACAGATTCGTTTCAAAGTTGGCTCGCGGGTCAAGACTTTAAGACAATGCAATCTGAAATTAATATATCAATATAGGAACTATAGTAATTTAAATAGAAGTGTATTATAATTATAATATATTTAGGGCCTAAAGAAATTTATTTTTTCTCTTGGTGCATTATAACATAAAAGCTTGTTATTAAAACATTTTTATGCAATTTATTTATAAGCCATGTATATAAATAAATACAGGCCTATATATATATATATATATATATATATATATATATATATATATATATATATATATATATATATATACAGAGAGAGAGAGAGAGAGATAAAATAGACCTATAAAATAACACTCGTGGGTCGATCCAACAGTCTATTTATAACGTCCACAAAACGTTGGATTTTAGAGCTAAAAATCCCCTTAATGGAGAATCTACATAGAGCGTAGTGTACGATTTAAACCTCCAAATATTATTTATTTCAGTGATTTTTACCATTACCAACCAAAAACGCATGCAAATAATACTTTATATGTGTATATATGTAGGAAAAAAAGTGCTAAAAGTATTATTCTCTGTATTCGTTGGATTTATTTTAACGATTGATTTTATTATTGTGGCATCGATCTCTGTTTACTTTATCGCTCGCTTACCCAAAACGTGCTATGTTCATTAGGGGTCGGCCTTAAATGACGTCACACTCTGGAGGGGAAATCCGGGCTAAGGTAAAATGAAACGCGATAATGGGGTTTCGAAAGAGTGACGACACGCTTAATCGTAAAAATGTTCAGAAATATAATTTAAGCCCTTGCGTCAGGTTGGCATTTTTTAAAATTTCAGTAAAAAAATTAATCAATCTTGGCCTACTCAACGTTGACTGAGCTCAGTTAATATTTTTTTTCTATAAATATTGATTAAAATCTAAAATGTATAAAATATTTTGTAATGACATTATGATTATAGTTCATTTCTATTGCTGCAGCTATTACTTTACTTACCAATTCGAAAAGTGTTCAATAATTACGATATTTTAACCCATGTGTGCTTGGATTGAAGCTGTGTAATTAATTTGTTGTATTTTCTTATCGTTTCAGTACAAATGTAAAGATAGTGGAATAATTTACTGACGTTAATAGCAAACTTTTCAACGACTTAAATTCATAAAGCTCCAAATGAATACATGTTTATGCAAGATTAAATTTAATTTTTAAAAAATGTCAGGACAACCTAAATGGAATAGAACCACTTCACCGACCAAAATTCCAAAAAGTGTTTTAAGGTTAAAATGTCGTCGATACTGGCCAAGGCCAAGTTGTCGTCAAGCGCCTTGTAAACCTCAGCGTCTAGCAAGGAACAGACACGTCTTCCGTTTATTTACTAACAAAGCTTTGCAACGAAAAAAACATGGATATTTTTCTATGTAAGTAACTACTGCGTTATACTAGAACTTCACTTAAACGTTTTGATAATTGTGTAAACTACGATATTTGTTTTAAAACCTCTTTACCTCCTCTTACTTTGCTTTGATTTTACACACGAACTCCTCCATTTTAACCAATGGCATCTGTTATATATCTTAAGTTGATAAGACACTATTATGTCCTACAAAATAGTTTATATTTTAATCACTAAAACAGTGTATAAATAAAATGTGTATTGCTTTGCTTGGTCGCTTTTTCTCCTTAGGGGTTGTCCATAAATGACGTCACACTCGTAGGGGGGGAGGAGGGAACCGTAATTTTGTGACTGTGTGTGATGAGAGAGAGGGGGGGGGGGTGGGTTCAGATGGTGCGACGTCACACTTTTGCATTATAAAAAACCAATGTTAGAATACGAATTTTAGGCTTTATTCCGCGCTTTAGAAAACTGTTTTAATAAATTGCAATAGGAAACGATTAAAATACTCTATTTTGACAGAGTTCAGACACGATTTTGGAAAAATATCGATGTTTTAAGAAAAATTCAACTGCAATTTTGAGGGGGGTTGTAGGCTGAGGTTTGATGTCATTTTTTTTGGGGGGGGGGGTCTGGCTTTTTGTGACGGAGGGGAGGGGGGAGGTAAAAATCGTCAAAAAGCATGACGTCATTTATGGATAACCCCTTTAGCATAAAGACGGAGAGTTTAAATATATGAACTCTAGATGTGTGACTATCTAGGCTATATTTATATAGGCTACATTTTATACTTGAATGTTTATATTTAATTTTGTGTATGTGTTTACATTGTTAAATGCCTTGTAGAAAATAAATTATACAGTACTATTTAAATTACTATAAAGAAAAGCGAGGGCCATTTTACTATTTTAGTATCTATTGGATACCTTTACTAATATCTTAGTGCATTATTACATAAAAGCTTGTTATTAAAACGTTTTTTTTTATTAATTTTTTTTCAGTACTTTACATGTTTTACATGAGTAGTTGGATAGAACTGCCTACTAATTTGGTCAAAATTTTAATTAATTCATAAAAAATTAATTAAGCATCCAATTAAGTCAAATTTAATGTCACAATGCATTGTCTTCATTTCTTGACCCACGTACCAACTACGAACCGTATCTGTCAGTTAAAAGTGCCTGCAATTTCGCTCGGCCGTTTCGATCTAGACAGACTGACGACAGACTGACGAGGAAGTGAGTTAAATAAAAGCTTGTAAAAAACCTGCTTTTTGTTAAAGCATACACTTAAAATAATTTAATTATAATTTGTCCATAATTGGCGCTAACCACTCACGGGTGAAGGGTTGTGTATCACTAATGAGGATGACGTCAACGTTATTCCTAAAAAAAATCTTAACTTAGCTACGCATATAAATGTAAGGATTTTCCCGAATCATTTTACGTGTCGTGTGAAATAAATAGTTTATTGTCTTAGCTACTATATAAAGAAAACCCTGACGTCAGTAGGATATAGTAAAGGGTGTATGTTTAGCTACTTTATTATTTATTTTACTCTGAGAAAATGTTTTCCAGCATTATTTAACTTAACAATAATATGCAATCAAGCTAATTTATGTTAATTGAATTAAAAATGCCAGCTCATTCCAACCTTCATTTTACTTTTCTTTCGTTATTCATTTTGTCTGCTCAGGGGTCATCCATAAATGACGTCACGATTTTTTGGACGATTTTTACCCCCCCCCCCCTCCTGCTTCACAAATCGTCACAAAAAGCCAGACCCCCCACCCCCTTTAAAATGACGTCACACATCAGCCTACAACCCCCTTCCCCTCAAAATCGCAGTTGAATTTATCTTAAAACATCGACATTTTAAAAAAATCTTGTCTGAACTCTGTCAAAATAGAGTATTTTAATCAATTCCTATTGCAATTTATTAAAACGGTTTTCTAAAACGCGAAATAACGTCTAAAATTCGTTTTCTAACATTGCTTTTTTTATAATGCAAAAGTGTGACGGCGCACCTTCTGAACCCCCCCCCCCCCTCCCCTCGTCACACACCGTCACAAAATTACCGACCCCCCCCTTCCCTTCTGTGAGTGTGACGTCATTAATGGACGACCCCTCACTCCATAAATGACGTAACGCTTTTGTTTTGACGATTTGCACCCGCCCTACACCGTCACACATCGTCACAAAAAGCCAGACATTTCCCACTAAAATGCTCTCACACCTCAGCCTACACCTCCCCCTAAAAATTGTAGTTTTCTTTTTTTTTTTTAATTATTACTGAGATCAATCAATAACGAGAAGGGCTTCTATGAATCAATTTCAATTACACTTTATTCACAAAGACCTTTTTTTAAACGCGAAATAAATAATATTCTGTTTCTAACATTACTTTTTTTCAAATGCAAAAGTATGACGTCCCACATTCCTGAGACCCCCTGCCCCCATCCCTCCCCCGCGTCGCACATCCTCACAAAATTCCGAGTCCCCTTTCCTCCTAGGAGTGTGACGTCTTTTTTTAACGACCCCCTACGATTATTTCACGTACCCGTCGTCCATAAGTTGCTTCACACGATCAGTAAAAAAATAAGGGGGGGGGGGGACGGGGGGCGTGGCAGTTCATACTTTTGAGTAGCCGGTTTCAAAAATATGTGACGTTGGATATACTCTTTAAAAATGTATGAAAATAATACCATATCTTTTATTTTGCTTTAGAATTATGTTTAATTTCAGACTATAGGTTATAACTGTGTAACATCATTTCCGTTAATGGCGCTGGTTGATGCGGGTCGCGTTCTAGCTTTTTGTGACAAGACATTGTTATTGTTTTGTTATAAATTGATGTTATGTTACCGTAGCTGATTTAATGATCACCGTGCTTTAAGCTGATTAATGTATTAATTAAAGTTTAACGTAAGGATGCGTTGGTATGTTTAGTACTGTTGGTGTTTGATGGTTAATAGTTGCTTAAATTTTTTCAACTTCAGAAAAATTGCGAAAGAGAATTCCAAGAAAGAACAGAAAAAATGTATTGAAGATAAAAATAACAGCAAAAATACTATGGCTAATTTGGAAACTAAAGGGTCAGCGGAGAGTGAAAGGTAATCAAACTTCAAGCTATTTAGTCATGTGATACCACACGTGTGAAGAATGTTGATGTTTGCGGTTTTATGTGTTGATGTTTGCGGGTTTATGTGTTGATGTTTATATGTTCACATATGAGTAATACATTCAGACATCAACCATGATTGAGCGACATAGTGTGAGACTCGTTGTTCGGAAAATATGTTTTTAAAATGATGAATGTAACCTTTAGAAATAACAAGTAAATGATGCTATGCATGTTCGCTGGAGGCGGTGGGGATGGTGGTGATGATTTTCTGACTTTAGTTGAAGGATTTAGGTGTGTGTGAGGGGGGGGGGGGGTAATAAATGTGATGAAGCACATACTCTGTAAGTTTTTAACTGTTTAAGATGAGAAATGGTAAAGGTATTGTCGGAAAAGCCCATTGCTGCTAAACCGAAAATCCCCGAGTTCGAATCCCGGGGCAGATGAGGCTAGATAGCTCGGGGTCAGCAACACAATTAGGTACGAAAACACAAAATAAAACACAATGCTGCAGTGTGGTTTGTTCTTGCTATGGAAGCAAAAATCGAAAGAGAAAAGCAGGCTCGGAGTCAACAGCATGTATGGCAAATTACAGGCTCACACGTAAAACTTAATTGTGTAGGAGGAAATCCCGTCCAACATTACATTAATAATGAACGAAAATGAAGAGGATGAGAATTTGATTGTACGGTGTAATCGATGTGAAAATTTACATTGTGATTTCGTTAAAAAGGCCGTAAATTAAAAAAGGTATAAAGATTTACCAACTTAAATGTTAAGCATTAGGAAAAAAAGCTAAAAAGATATCGTGAAAACCGTTGATTGTTTAGTTTAAATGTTTATATTCTCTAAAATGAATTCAGCCCATGTATATTTATAAAAGGCCGAATCTTTCTATTTGAAAATGAAAATATTAAACCTTAAAAACATGCAAGGTGCGTATTGTCCATAAAAACTGTTATCTGATTGCTTTTCGAAAAGCTGCCTATTGCTTTAACCAATAAAAATGGTAGATTTAAAAAAAATCTATTTTGCATTTTAAAATATCGAAAGTATGGACAAAATAGGGGAATCTCGATGTGTCTCCGCTTAATGCAGCATATTTTGTTCAAATAATGTTCTAATTGAACGGAAGCTTTTAAACGACATTAATAACGTTATACTTTTAATGTTAATGTATATCATAATAGATACCTTATCTTATCGGCCTTACATCGCGATTAAAAGGTTGAAAGCATTTTAATAGAATGCCTTAAATGATTTTGTTTTAAAAGTTGCAAATATGTTATGTATCTTTTCGTTTATTAAAGGATACACACATTCAAAGGCATAAAAATTAAAAGCTTATAGAATCTATAGATCAAAACAAAAATTCGGACCTTTCGACATTTTTTTACGAACACTTCGGGTGATGTAATTTTAGCGGGCGCCACGGATGTCAGGATCTGTGTGGTAGGCTTATATTAGCCGTGTTATGATATAGATGGGCAGGCTCCAACCCGTCTCATAGCTCATTGAGTATTATGTTATGCAAAATTGATGTTAACATACCGATCTAGTTCCAACAAGTGTTGCTTTATCTTTTTTTTTAAATTTAATTTTATTTCAGCGTTCGCCTTTGTTTGATGCAAGCAAGTTTACTGTCAATACTGATGTACGTTATTAAAGCTTTGTGTGAAGTCAAGAATGACGTTGGTGAAGATAAAAATTGTTATGGAAATTACAAGTTGGACTGTAGCGACCAGGACAAAATTTATTCTAAAAACGAAAAAGAAGACGATGAAGGAAACATGCAGCTACAAAGCAAGCAAGGGGAAAATTTAATTCATCGGTCTGATTTGGAAATTTTTAATGAACTTTGTAGTTTCGAGAATATTTTTATCAAACCTCAAGGCATGCTCCAAGTCTTTCACGTAGGCAGTGTGATACATAACCATCCAATATCTGTCGAGGGAATACCGTGGGAAAAATTTCGTGAAGAAAGGTTAAGAATAGTTACATACGTAAAGTATCCAAAACGAGGCCGGAAGTCGGCCATGTTGCTGGCCGAGAACGGGTTTGTGTACACTGGAGACGGTAACGACAACGACGACCGTGTGACATGCTACTCGTGTTGCTCGACCCACGGGAACTGGCACCTGCTGGATGACGTGGCAGAGGTACACAGACGTATCTCACCCGTCTGTTCTATGGTCACGCATATCAACAGCGATAATATACCAGTAGTCGTCAATGAAAATTTAATGTCCAATTTTAGTAGTTTGTTGGAAAAAGCGGAGAGTATTACGTTTTCGCATCACCAAGAAGTTAAAGAAAAACATGCGCCTTTATCAGAATATAATCATTTTGATTATACGTATAAAGATAAATCTTATAAAAAAAATAGTAAAAGAAATAAGACTAGAAAAACAAAGACTCGCGCACAAAGTAGCAGCTTGGCATCAATGGACATTGAATCAGATTCTGCTCCATCGTTTAGACACAGCTTGCAAGACAGTAGTTCTTCTTCCAATATACAGCCTTTAAACATGCAGTTACCAAGCGCAAGGCCTAAACAGCTAGCCCTAGGTACATCAGTAGTAAATTCATCACAAAGCCCACAAGTCGTTGGTACAGTTTTGTCTAACGTGGTAAACAATACACAAGATACAAGATCACTTGCACACGGAGTCAAACACCAAGGAAATCCGGCAAACGACATAGAAGTAGACGCTGCGCCTGAAATTTCTTATGAAACCGCAAATTCTTCCATCCAAGTTCAGATCGCTCTGCCTAAAACTGTTAGGTCGAAGCCTGACGAGAGTCCAGCTCGCCCTAAATCTAACCCAGCCCACCTTAACTCTAACCCAGCCCGCCCTAACTCTAACCCAGCCCCCTCTAACCCAACACCCCCTAAATCTAACCCAGCCCCATCACTCGATTCTCGTACAACTTCCAGCAATGTATTACCACCTAACCCCAATAGTTTAACATCGAATGCAAGTCAATCCCAAACAAGAGAAACTCCAGTTTCGGGTGATCAGAGCAACACCACACAGCCCGCATCACAAACAACGCCATTCAATTCTTCCGACCCTACTCCAGCAGCGACCGGCACGACGGACGCCACACCGTCCGTAACAACAAACGCCAACAGCGGCAACACCAGCAAGACGGGGAAACGCAACCCCACGTACGCCGAGCTGGGCATCATCACGGAGCGGCCGAAACGTCCGGAGTACGCCGTGAAAGTAAAAAGACAAGAGACGTACGGTGGCTGGCCTAGAGATCACCACCTGACGATAGAAGAGTTGGTCGATGCTGGCTTTTATTATGCTGGTGGGTACACAGTTGTTTTTTTTCTTTTACATCGCTCTAGCTTAGGTTATTTCAGACAGAACAATATAACGTTTCTAAAATTCACGTAAAAAAATTAAGGCCTGGATATAAATATATAATAAATAAATAAATATATATATATATATATATATATATATATATATATATATATATATATATATATATATATATATATAGAGGTGTAGCGAAGGGGGGGGGGGCGGGGGGTTCGGACTGCACCGGGTGACACCATTTCGGGGGGGGGGTGGTACCAAGGCAAAAAATAGCAAAATATATAGAGAAAAACTTGAGGAGGGGGGGGGGGGGTGCAAATCGAACGTTTGAGGGGGGTGCAAATCGAAAATTTGTCCCCGGGAAGGGTCGCTACGCCTCTGGTGGGGTGACACCATTAAGTGCCGCACCGGGTGACACCCGACCTCGCTGCGCCACTGTATATATATTATAAAAAATATGTATATAAATATATATATATATATATATTCTACTATAAGATAAGTTCCTTGCATTAATGTGTGTTGTATAACAGGCTACGGCGACTGTGCCCGATGTTTCTACTGTGGTGGTGGACTCAGGAACTGGGAAGACGAGGACAACGTGTACGTGGAGCACGCTCGCTGGTTCCCCAAATGTGCCTTCATCCGCCAGCTGATGGGGCAGGTGTTTGTTGACGTGGTGCAGAAGTTGAACAAAGATCGTGATCAGGTAAACACAGGCAGATCTATAGACATAGTTGTTGTGGATGTTGGTTGATGTTTTTTGTTTGTGTAACAATTGTAACCATGGTGATAATGTAGATGGTTTAATTTCTGTTTACACTTTGTAGTAATGTCCCTGATAAGGTTGATGTCATTTTGTTTAATCATCATCTTTTCCCGTTTGTGCCCAAGACACATGGGGCAGATGAAGTAGAGTTCATCTTCTTCATTTTGTTTATGTAAACTAACTGAAAATATAGATGCTTCAATTTGTGTACACATTTTCTCATGTCCTTGATAATGTTGATGTCATTTTGTAAATGTGAACTAATTAAACCAATGCCCCTACACACTAATGATGTTGATGTTTTGATTTTTTATACACATTTTTCTAATATCATTGATAATGTTGATGTCGTTTTGTTTATGTGAACTAATTTTACCTATATTCCTACACACAGATTCCTTTTTCGCTGGTGTTAGACACATTAAAAAAGAACTCTTCAACGTTTCAACTAGGTATGTGTTATATAAACTTATTATAAACTATATCCTTCATTTTTATATTATGTTATAAGTTATGTAATATGTAATTTATATTGTGTAATAGTGCGTCTTAGTTACATTGTTTATATTATTATGCTATAAAAATAACTGCAAGTAAAGCTATAAACAGAAAATTCGATTTGTCTTGGACTTTATACTTCTCTTATTGACTAATTAGTTTAAACATTTGCAAAACAAATGACCAATTATAATTATATTTTAGAATCCAGAGACGAACCTTTAAAACGGGACCCAGCAGTTCAAGTTGTTGTCGATATGGGATACGGTTTGCAAGATGCTGTTAACACAGCTAAACTTGTCAAACAAGAAAGTAAGTGATTTTTTTTTTAGTTTTTGCTATATCCTGTAAGGAAATATTTGGTTTTAATCTTCTTTGTTTGAACAAAAAAAACAAAAAAACATAGTGTTTACTTTTAGTTTTTGATATATATCCCTAAAGAAATGTAGGCCTAATGTTTTATTGTTTAATGTTCTGATTTCAAAACATGTTGAAAAAGATAGTGTTTATAGTTTTAGTTTTTGCTGCATATCACATTAAAGAAATGTTGGGTTTTAATATTTAATGTTCAGACTTGAATCGTATCAATCCAGATAGTGTTTTATTGCTTAAGGTTTTTCTGCATATCCCATTAAAGAAGTAATAATATTATTCTTAAACATTAAATGTTCTTACAGTTTGTTATAAATGTTTTAATGTTCTCTCATACCAACAGACAGTATTATATCTGCTGACGTGCTTTTGGAGAAACTTCATGAAACTAAAACTCCAAGAGACCAGACTAAAATATTGCAAACACCTTTAGGGCTTTCATCAGACAAACAAAAATCTCTAGGTAAGGCTTTATTGTTGTATCTTCATCTGTTTGTTTGTGCCCAAGAAACATGGGGCAAAGGAAGTAGAGTTCATCTGTTTAAGTGACCTCGGCATACAAGAGGATAATGTGGTCAGGACTATGCTTAGCTGCCTTTGTTTCCCTGTGTGGATTCTACTGATGTTCTACTGATTGAACACAGATTTGAACTCTAGACTTTTGGGTTAGCAGTCTAGCGCTCTGCCGCTACGTATAACACCATGTTTCAGTGTTATATTATTAAGTACAGAAAATTATGTAGGGTTATTTTCTTTTGTATTACAAAAACTTCTTAATGGCTTTGATCTGCTGACGAATCCTGATATAATTGGCTTATAATTTAAAATACGCATAAGATTTGTAATTTTAAGAAAGCATTTTACCCTTTACAATACTTATACAAAATAGAGCCAGCGTATAAAATAAATACAATACTTTATGTTTTCAGAAACTATGCGTACATTAAAAGAACAGAACAACCAACTACGCCAGCAGACAGTGTGTAAGATCTGTATGGACCAGGAGGTGGCTGTCGTCTTTCTGCCCTGTGGTCATCTGGTGTCCTGTGGAGAGTGTGCCTCTGCCATGAGTGCCTGTCCAGTCTGCAGAAAACAAGTGAAAGGAACTGTGAGGGCTTTCATGGGCTGAAAGTGGTAACAGTTGTATAAGTTGAGCTATGATAGTTTGAGGAAAGTGTTAACTAAAGAGCTTGCATGAGTTGAAAGTGGTAGCAGTTGTATAAGTTTAGAAAAGAGTATGGGCTTAAGCATACATGATACAATGTTGCAAATGGTAAATGTGGATTTGGGAATACATTTAGTATACAAATATAATGTTATATGTACGAGATGTGTGCCTTGCTGCATTTATCATGGGCAGATAATCTCAAGGTTGAAATCAACAGTGCCCATCTAATTCTAGTCAAAAGATGTTATCGGGGACATTTGTACTTGCATCATTTGGGGTAAACATAAGAATTCATCGAGCCATGTACATATATGGCTACTGATGTATGTAAAAAAAAGAAAAAATGTAAATACTTTTGTCTTATTATTATAACATTATAATGTTTCATTGCTGGATTTGACTACTTAAAGTGCTACTGATTTATAAACTTTAAGACACGTTTTTGTTATGTGTGCTCTTTCTTCAAGCAGAAGAATGCCCAGCTATTTTTAGAGCCCAATAAGAAAATTGATAAATAAAGTGAAAGAAATTTAATAATGTGAATTCAAAACAATAATTTCACAACACATTTTGAAAAGGGGGAAGGGGAGTGGGGTTGGGTACCATTGAAAATTTTGGTGAAAGCTGGGGAGTGGCTTCTTGAAACCGCCATAGTGGGCAGACAGTGGATAAAGTATATATTTTCCGCATAAAATATATTTTGTTTCGGTATGAACTCATTTCCATCCCCCCTCCCCCTCCTCTTTCCCAAGAAGTGCCTGAAAAAAACACAGATTTAAAAACAAACCTATTAACTGTGTACATTTATAAGAATTATATGCATTTAGATTTTCAACTGCCAAAATTTTTCAGTGTATTTTTAGTTATAGGCATAGGACTAGTTTGTTCTTAGTTTTAATGGATTCATAATATTGACTGCTATAAAATGAATCATGGTTAGATGACATGATTAGAAGATTAAAGCAAACTGTCTTTCATCATTTTTTAAGAATAATAATTCTTTAAAACTGTGTTTTATTTTGATTTGATTTTAAATCCCTTACAGCCTGTGCGTTTTTTTATTACTTATCTTTTATTGCTTGTACAATAAATACATATATTTTCCATACATGTTGATAAAAGAACATATTATTGAGAAAATAGTTTTTACAGCTATTTTAAAACATTAATGACTTTTAAAGAAAGTATTACTGTTTCAAGAAATGATTCATGTATTTTCTTACATATTGTTTTCCTTTAAATTTTCACTTAAATTAATTAATTATTATGATTGTTGTTTTCTTTGTTATTAATTCATCGAATGAATGCTGTTTGAATTAATTAATTAATTAAGTTTGAATTTATAACAAAGTTATAACTAGAAGATTTTTCACATATTATTGATTTACATGAAACAACATATTATTTAATTACTATGCAATTGTAACTTTAATATATTTAGCATGTATACAATAAATTCTTTCCAATTAACTTTATAGGAGAATGTGGAGTAGGTATCTTGTCTATGGTTTTTAAATTATTTTCTTTTTTTAATTATTATAACTTTGGTTTACCCTAGAACTCAGCGCATAGTATGCTGATTATTTATGTAGAATCTTTAGGAGTTGTTTATGTAATTTATATATGAAAATATAACTATTATCTGTATAAAATAATAAATTGTTATAGACTATCAGAATTTTGTCTGACTGTTATATTTTTTGACTTGTTGTTTGTGTAGTTTGTGTGCTGTGGAAACTTAACAAATAAGCTTCGAAAAAATAAAAAAATATATATAAATGCATAGTTAGGCTTTTTTCCTATTATTTTTTATTTTCATATTTTATTTCATATCTTAAATAATGTAAACAGGCAAAGTCAATTTTTTAAAGGGGACATTTAAAAAAAAAATTAAAATAGAAGTCCTATATTATGTGAATGTAATTTTCTGTGCTGTGTATTTACTTCAATAACCGGCATATCTAATTTAACTCAGTCCGTGAAATTTATTTCACAGATACTACTCCTTTAATGCAGAGGCGTAGCGAGGTCGGGACGGGGGTGTGGACCGCACCGGGTTACGCCGTTTAGGGGGGGGGGGTGACACCAAGGCAAAAAGAATTGCAAAATTTACAGAAGAAAAACAAAAAAATGTAAAGTACTTAAAATTTTTAATAAAAAACGTTTTAATAACAAGCTTTTATGTAATAATGCACTAAAAAGGTGAAAATAAATTATACACTACTATTTAAATAACTATAAAGAAAAGCATGGGTCACTTTAGTATCTATTGGATACCTATTGGATACACACACGAATATATATATATATATATATATATATATATATATATATATATATATATATATATATATATATATATATAAAATTTGTTTTTTCGGGAGGGGGGTGACACCACGGAGTGCCGCACCAGGTGAGGTGACACCCGACCTAGCGACGCCACTGCTTTAATATCCCATATAACTTTATTTGCAACGGAAAGGGCACTGAACAGGCGAGGTACGGTGAGGTCTTGTCTGTTATGGTGAGGTATTGTCTGGTTATGTGGAAAGTGATGAGATATTCTCAGTGAATATGAGGTAATGATGAGGCTTTTTTTATAAACTTGTATTTAATTCGTATCGTCTGTTTGTTTGTGGGTCGTGGCAAATCTTGTAACTCAATTTTGATCCACTTCTAATACAGCAATTTTGTCCACGGGCATTCAGAAATGGCAGTAAAGGCAAGGTACTAATTGGGTTTTAACGTAAATAAGATTAGTCGTAGTTTCTGTTGTGTCAACTTTATTTTGAATAAATAACTAAAAAAAAAGTGGAAAATAAAAAGAAAAGAAAAGACCCTTATAATAATAAGCTTTTGAATGTTTTAAATTAAGAAAAGAAAAGAAACGAGCTTTCTTTAATAAACACAAGTAATAGTCATGTTAAAAGAATCTATCTTTAGTGGATAACTTCAATATTTAATTTGTCTCTCATTAGTATGTCGTACTCGAGTGCATTTCCTCATGCGCTCTATCAACGAAAAAAAAAACCGACAATAGTTATAACATGTACGAGTCTTACATGATTTGTCATTACTAAGAGTAGTTCTAGGTCATTAGCCATCACACTTCAGTCTTAATAGTGCTATTGTCACTAAAAGTATAACATGTACCTCTTAGTTCCATGGTTTAAGATGGTCTAATTAAGCATTTTAAACGAGCAATAATTAGGCTACATTTTAAGAAAATCAACTCGATCCTATCTTAATAATAATATTTACTTCGTAAAAGTATTCGTATAATTAACGTATATATATATATTTTCTTGTCTTTTTTTCGCCTCAGACACGTAATTTATAGCGTCAGTTGTGTGTTCGCTTTAGTATTACAGTTTTCATCATCGGCTTGTGAGGACTGATACAGATTTACAATAGTAATATTTCTTTCTTACTTGTAGCATGCTTTCATTCATTTAAGATGGTTTACTTATACATAGATCTAATACAAAACGTCTAAATATAAAGAAAAAATAAAAATTAAAAACCAACCTGAAACTGAAACTGCAAATATGTAATTAAATGATGATTCAAGGGATTTTTTTTTCTCGGCGTGCGTGGTGGGCTGAGGGGACGGGGGGGGGGGGGGGGGGGGGGTATTTGGGTTTTTAAGTAGAGCTGAAAAAAAAAATTGGGATTACCGAGAATTAAAATGATACAAATTTTAAGCAATCGGAAAAGTTATGTTATTACAATGAGACATCAAAGCAAACATTCTTCCCTTTCAAACATCTATATCTATACAGTCCTCAAACAGTGTTTTATTTTTTTTTTTTAAACATTTAAATCAGTAATAATAATATATTTGATAGATTTTACACAGCATCAAAGACATGAACAATGAACATCAATTGCATATAAAACAATCAAAGGGAGAAAATAAAATAATTAACGTGTATATTACTATGTTTTAAAAATGTTTGAAACAATATCACATTATATTTGCGATATATATTTGTAATAAACTACATATGCTTATTGTAAATACGTTGTGTGTTTTAGCGTGATATAAGCGTTTCATTTGCTGTTATTGGAGTTCCTAACATTATGAAATCATAAAACTAAAACAAGGAAGATTTTAAACTTTTTTTAAACCCGTGATTTAACACAGAAAGCTTATCAGCTATGAGTTATTTCTGTATACATAAGTTCAACTTTTTGAACTAAGTTATCGACCTTAGTTCAAGCTATTTCTTTTGGCTGACGTAAAAGATTACACAATCTTATGAAACGCAACCCCGTGTTTTGTTAAGGATCTAATCTCATGGTACACTGCCTGTTTACTATACATTTCCTTAAGAAAAAACATGAGTATGTTGAAGTCAGCTTTTAATACGTTGTTCTCTGAGGTCAAGTATTGTAGATAGGGTAGATAAAATTATTTCTATCTTCTTCTTCATCGTTCTTAATTCTAGTGTTTAAATGGTCCCCCGAACACAAATAAGTATTACGTGTCAACTCTATTTCAGACAGCTTTTCTTTCAGGATTTGCTTCCATAGCCTTTGTTTAACCAAGATGAAACTACAAGGCAGCAGTTGTTTGATTTTGGAGGTTTCTATATGAGTAGCTGTCCCCAGCTATAAAGCCTCATCTTCTCGGGGGTTTCGAACTCAAGACTACTCGGTTTAGCAACCTTGAGCTGCACCGATTCAACCACGTCTACCACTATCGATTTTATGTACATTAATGTTTCTCTAATGCCTGTGTTGGTTGTTTTCAATGTCGTGTTTTGTTGAGAAGAAAGAGATAATATATTCCTGTCCACAACAAAGTATGGTTAAAACTTCAGCTGTGCCCATTTAGATTAATTTTAGTTACATATAAGCCACGTCAGGTCTTATTATACGACCTGTGGTTTTGGTTGTGGAAGCTATGATAATATATAGACCAACAATCTATAAATGGCACATTGCCACCAGAAGCTAATGGGATTTATTATACTCGACAACGGACACTTGAACTTGTTAGTATAAATAGTTTGGAAGGTATAATGCTATTCTTATAATCTGATGTAATTTCAAACACGTCTTCTTGACGTCTCAAGAACGTTTATTACTTTTTTATCAATACACTTGTTTAAATATTTGATATGAATTTCAGAAGTTAACTTATAACGTGGCACTTTTAACGGGAATCATTGTTTACAACATTTTAACTTTCTGTATTTAGTTTAGTTCTACTTAAAAGCATAGTGTTTTTCGCATCTATTTTTAGCAATATAATATTCAATTCATTTTTACATCACTGTTAAAAATAGATTTTCTTTTAAAATCCGACAAGTATGTCATAGAATGGGTATATAAATGAAATTTCTGTTTGAGCTCTTATTGTAGTTCACGTTGGTGACTTGGTAGAGTAACTTTTGTACTGTTCGTTTGTTCTTCGTGTGACAAAAAAAAACAAACAATAGTGCTTTGGCTACATCATTCTATCAGCGTAATCTTTATATATTTGTGAGGGATCTTCAACCGTTCTTATTCCTTGCTAACCAGCACGTGATAATTCAAACATGTTTCAATTCGATTTTTTAAGAAAGTTAAACCGAATCAACAATCCACACCCAGAACCAAAACTGGTCAAAATTTCCAAAGCTTCAAGAACAGATACTCATATCAATAAAACAGGCCAGACTAATTCAAGCCAACGCAAGAAGCGAAAATCGTAAGCAGAAAAATTATTTTCAAATAGGGAATAAAATTATTTAATAAGATTAAATTAATAATGCTGTCAATGGTCAAAATTTGAAGTTGTTAAACAAAGTATTTTATGCACACACACACACACACACACACACACACACACAGACATATATATATATATATATATATATATATATATATATATATATATATATATATATATATATATATATATATATATATATAATACTCATATATACATTATATATAGGCATAAATGTTAAAGAGTATAAAATGTGTTTGTATTTTATTGATATTCATCAGCGTTTTTGTTATTTATGAGTGGCATTTGCAATTTTTTGTACATCTATTTCCTTGATAATGGTAGACCTATATTTATTCTTTACTTTAGCCAATATATAAAGCCTAAATATTATGAATTATGAAATATAAAGTGTTACGGCGGCGAGTGCCATTCGTGATCATATTTGAGTTACAGTAATGTTTGATTCTGTTTTCGTTATTCATCGAATAAAATAACTTTTATTATAAACGCAATGTGTGCTAGTTTGTTGCTTATTATGCTGTAATTTAAGTTTGAACAAATATTTTAACGATCAAGTGTTTTAGTTTTTGTTTTAGAACACCATAAAGTTGCCAGACTTTTGCAGCTTAGGTTATTAAATTATAAAAATGTCGTAGTTGTTATATTGGATTTTCCCGATAGATAAAAAAAAATAGGTCATGTGACGCACAGTAACGCAAGCAGCAAGTCCGTGTATCAACCTACACGGAGAACTTTAAAGGTGAGACGTCTTTCATTTTAATGAACTAACTAAAAATGTTTATTGTTATGTACTGTTTGTTTCATAAACTTTACATTTAGTCTTTAGTCAGTTTTATAATTATTGCACACTTCATATAATATTATGATTATTAACCTTCTAGCCGATAGCCCTATTAAAAAGCAGTTTTCATACGATTACGTAGACCCATTTGGCATTTATCGTTACGCGTTAAATTATTTTACCGTCCCCCTGTCGCGTGATTTATTTTTTTTAAAACTAAAGCTTTGGAACCGTACACATACATCCCATTCAGCTTGTATTCACTGCTCATTCAGTCTTTTAAAGGCTTTAAAAAATATATTTGCTAGTGTAATGTAGAGTACATTTTTTATTAAAATAGGCAACCACAAAAATATTAATTTATAAGAATGTTGGGATTGAAAATAAAAGTACAAGTTTGACAAAGAGTTTTGGAACAAGTTTAAATTCAATTTTTTAAATAAAGATGGAAGCAGCCACGTAAAGGCTATAAATACAATTATAGGAAAACTAAAAATATACGTCGGAAATATCCGATATTTGGTTTCGTTTTTACCGGAAGTAACATTCAAATAGTTAGAGATACTCACTAATTTTAAATTTCGTTATTTTTCGATTTAAACATTACCAATGGAAACTAGAGATCAATCTCTAATCAATCAAATACTTAATTTGTTGAAAATAAACTCATTTGGAGCTTAATTACTGATTTTTATTAATTGGCCACTCCAAGCATTGCAAGCCAAATAATCCGTGACAACCAGATCGCCATAGCTTTTCTGAAGAGACGAACTCTGCAGGGTTGACCTTGCAGCTGATTTGATTTTAGCAGAATATGCACAGTACATTTGATTTTATTACCGCATTTCTATTCGTATGTACACTGTCTTCGTCAGAATAAAAAAATCACGTAATGGAATTAGATCTAGATCTAGAATTTTTAAATATTTTTGTTTAATTTTTTTTAAATGGAAGGGTGTTTAAAAAGGAAAACTAAATTCAAATTAATGAAAAACATGTTCAAGAATATATAGTATAGATCTAATCTTTTTAAAGATATTCAATCCCATGCATGTTTTATTAACTAGTGTAAGTGTTTTAGCAATGCTTAATTAGGGCAATTCATAAAATATAGCGATGTCATTGTAAAATTAATCTAACCCTCTTCTCTCACTTGACTTGGGACAGGTGTGTTATTTACAAAGTTTTGTCTATGCTCAGTTTAAAATGTAAAGATTTGTAAGTATTTGATTTATTTTAAAAAACACTGCAATAGTATTCAAATTCATCAAGTTAGCGAGAAATACATTCTAAACAGCGTCACGGGCAGTGCGCGCGACAGACATCACGCTCGCTTAGTTTTGTCAACCAGAAAAGTTAGCCTATCAAATACAATTAATTAGGCCTATAAAATAAAAAGAGGCCAATCTCATTAAAATGATCGCCTGTGAGCAAAGATATATGCAAATTACAAACATCGCTAGCCCGCCTGCGTTCTTTTGTCAACCAGCGAGAGAAAACTCATAGCACAGTGTGCGCATGCGCTAAATCTAGTCCAAGTACTTTGTTATCCCAAGTTATAGGCCCTAATTAGTATTATAGGTCTAGATTAATATAAAGTTCAAATTAAATGTATTTAATTAAGATGTGTGTCTATTTGATTTTTCAAATGTCAGCGCATAAAAATTAATCACCGAGAGCGAGAATTAGGCCTATGCCTATGCATTCCAAACATCGACACAGACCACGTGTGTCAAACGACTCGCTCGCTCGCGCTGGTTTGTCAGCGAGAGAGGCATCGCCCGCCACAGCGCGGGAACAGCACACATGTCCTAGTCCATGCGTACTTGGTTTACTTAGTACTAATTAGTAATGTAAACTTAGACCCAACGCTAAAATCATTTAATTTATATATCAGGCCTATAAAATCGTAATAATATTAACATTATTAAGCCTAATAAATGTATCAACGAAGACCAGTGAAAATATTATAATTAGCCTAATTAAAATTTATGAAATCAATAAGAATTAAGACAAATTAATTAAGCTATAACAAATTTGAAAACAAATAATTAGGCCTAAGTCATTAGCCTAAGTAAGCACACAAAGACCAACGCTCACTACTAGATCTAGATCTAATTCCAGGGATCAACAAAAAAAAAAAAAATAACAGATCGTTGTGGTTTAAGGGTTTTTAGAGTCATAGTATAATCCAAAAGTCAGGTGAAATATCCATAATTAGGCTTAATTAGTCTAATTACGCTAGCAAAATAAGCTGAAAAAGAGTGTCAAGTGAAAAGAAAACACAATTATATAAGCAGCGAGAGGATACTACTGTACAGCTTCCGTAAAAATAGCGATGACGTCACAATAAAAAATAACGTGCTTTCAGTGACCTTTTTGCGATGCCGATTTCTTAAAAGGCGAACATAATATTTACAATTTTTTTTCACTAAACGATCAATCTAATAATACTCGACCTAGGCATGCAGTTTTGACACCTTAGAGACCATTATTTAAAGTTTTTGAGCTACTCAAACTGTACCCATGTTTACGTTTGACCTTTCAATGTCGGAAGCAAAAAAAAAAAAAAAAATCTGCCAAAAATAGCTTTGTCATCATTAGATTGCTTAAAATACGCGAAAAAAACGCCATTTTTCGCGTGATAATTATTTTTAAAGTTAATGTTAAGGTGGTCTCTCGAACAAAGCAGAAAAAATTGCCCAATCGTAGGCCAAGGTGTGGTAGCCATGTTCTGGTTAGCAACCAAGGACGCTTTTAAGTTAGTGAGTCTCGCTATTAATAGTTTCAGCACAATTCATTTAAATAAAATGTAGCGAGGTCTCATAAATTAGTTTTCATGAATTTTATATGACATTCATTCATCACATCTTCATATTGCTAATTTTGTTTCTCATCATCAACATCGCAATTTGTTTCGAAACTTTTTGGATAGTACAGATATCACATACACAGGTCAAAACGATTGGACGGCGGTAGGGCGCTAGACTGATAACCCGGTAGTCTTGAGTTCGAATCCGGGTTCAAATCAGTACAATGTCCACGTGTCCACTCAGCTCTGATCGGTTACTAGATCTAACTCACAATCGGGAAAATTGAGACTGAGCTTAGTGCTGACCACGCTTATCCTTCATATTTTAATATAAATAAATAAAAAACAATCTCCGCCTTTCGCTCTTTTCATAACCTATAAACCCCAATTTCTTTATAAATACCTATGCATATTGTAATTTTTAATTCATTTGATAAAACCAATGACTCGTCTTCTAAGGATTAATATTTCTCTTATTCTACTTTTTGTCCAACAGGTTTAACTACATCATCAAGCAAAAAAAAAACAAAAAAAAAAACAAGTTTCTGTCAACCTTGCCTTTGTGGTATTTTGTGTTTAACATAAAATAATTCACATGATATTGTACTTTAACTAATTCTATAAAAACCTAAACGCAAGTTAATATGGATTAGTTTTCGTTTATTGATATCTATAAGTGTGAATATAAATGGATGACAAGCCTACTTTTAGTTTAAATACACCTAAAAATGAAGTGAAGTAAGTAAAGTTTTATTACCGTACATGTTACTCAATAAAATACATGTCGCTTGAATTGAATTATTATAATAACGCTTGATTTAAATTCTCTGAAAATCATGGAATAAAATAAATATGATTGTATATTAAAATATATTTATATGAAGTTGTATAAGACATTTGTGTAAAATAATTAAAAGATTTGACAAAATTGTGAAAAAATTATATAAAGTTTTGATTATAAAAACAATGACGTTGTGTTATCTATACAAATATTTATGTATGTGCGCGTGTGTTCTTTTCCGTGTAGAGAAAATGAGATAAATTTCGTCACTTTTAAAAAAAATGTGTATATTGTTTTGTTTCTTACTTTCGTCAGAAATTAATGTATACATTTTACACGAACTGTTTGTATATTTTAATATGAACTGCCTATGTTATTGTTGAGCGTGTAAGTGAAAATAACCGATGTATTTGCTTTTTGTGGCATGATCCTAATGTAAGATTTTCTTTTCCTAGTAATACTTCGCGTGCTAAATCCCGATGCAAATCAAAAGGTTGTAGCAAGAATGCATCACCTAAAACAAAACGGGGAGGTAATCATCGTCTTCGTTGGTTTAGGTAAGAAATTAATTTTAGAATATTTTAAAGTAGATAATGCCACCATTTTTATGTTTATTCGAATAACAAGAAAGTTTTTTACTAAAGTGTAGGCCTACTTACAAAATGGTTCCTTCCTGCAAATCTAGGAATTCCTAGGTATTAATTAGAGCTAATACAGATATTACACGTTATACATATTACACACATTACACATATTTCTCCAGCACTAGTTCCTTAATACTTTGTATGTTCGTTAAATAATTTTTACTGATATCTTTAACCAAAGTACATACTGTCATTTGCCTCCAGTTCACAAATTTCCTAAAACACGAAACGGTAAGTACTATGCATTTGATTATAAATATTCGTTTCTTTTCTTCTTGCAGAAACCCAAAACGATTTAGAAAATGTAAGCAGGTTTCTGTTAAAACACGTGAGATATCGGGTAAAAATGAAACCTTTACGCCCCATAAACTTGTCTTTGAGCAAGAGGTGATAGAAAAGAAAGTTAACAAAGTCACCTGCAACGCTGTAACGATTTATTCTAAGGTTAACGTATATTTTCAACAATTGAAGGAAGACGTTAAAAATATTCCAGGTTTAAATGATAAAACTGTGGAGTCAAAAACGTTAAAAGATGATTCGCAAATCAACAAAACATCTTTATATGAAGATCTTTATAACTCGAAGTTCTTTAAAATTAAGCCCACCTCGTTGTCCGTATTTATATTAGAAAGTCCAGTTACCGAAATAAATGGAATATTATGGCGATATTTTAAGATAGAGATGTACAGGCTAGTTACTTTCGCAAAGTATCCAGTCAAAGCTAACCTGTCGGCACTTGTGTTAGCAGCTGATGGTTTTGTTTACATCGGTACAGGAGTAGATAATGACGACACAGTAGTCTGTTATTTTTGTTGTAAATCAAAAGACAAGTGGCAAATAAACGAAAAAGTTGAAGACACCCACAAGGAAATATCGCCAAATTGTTGTATGGTCACGAAAATAAATTGCGACAACGTACCTTTGATATCACCTGTTCCGGTTGGGTCAAGTTTTACTGAAGCGATAAATAGCCTTGATTATCATAACCATCATCATCACACCAATCAAGTAAACGATAATACCATAGATACAGATTCGGCTCCGGGTGCAGCGAACGTACAAGAAGTCAAAAGTACTGAATTAAACGCCAAAAGTTTACATAACCCTAATGACATAGAAGCTGATTGCGCACCACATCAGTATAGTGAGGTATCGAATCTTGAGTCTAGTTTTAGAGGCCTAACCCAGAATAGCACGACTTCAGCGTCCATTACAGTACAACCGGATCCGTCAGTGTCAAGATCTAGCGGTCATTTAGTTCAAAATGTAGAGCCGTCCCCTACAGTCTCATTGATCCCGAGTACAGTTGACAATAACTCCCAAGTAATTGCTGACCCTACCCCAGCACTAAAACACACACTGTGTATTGTCCCAAACAACCCACCCCCCAGCCCGTCCCCCAGCTCTAACTCCACCACCAGCAACACATCAGCTACGTCCGTGACCTCCAACACCAGCAGCCAACCCAAGGGCAAAGGTCGAGGTCCGACCTACGCTGAGCTTGGCATCATCACAGAGAGACCTAAGCGTCCAGAGTACGTCAAGAAAGATGAAAGAGCAAAAACGTTCACAGCATGGCCGAGAGATCATCACCTGTCGGTACCAGAACTGGTGGAGGCCGGCTTTTACTATGCAGGTAATCTTTGTTTTTGTCACAGTTCTACAAGAGTATCTACTCCCTTGCTGCTAAATAACAAAGTAGGCCTACAATTGTCAGGGAATTCTAAATAAAATATATTACAAAAAAATATACACATCGCAACATTTTTATTCTGAACCCACGATGAATAAATGCAGGTCTTCTGTTTTTTTTTCACAGTCATATTGGGCTGTTTATCTCAAGGAACAACAGCCTTCTTTCCCACCACCTCATCCCCAATCCCTACCCTCCTGATAATATCCAAACGCAATTGGAGGAATAGCACTTGAACAAGAAATAAATAAATATTGAAGTTATCCATTAATTCTGCTATTTTAATGACCCCCTTTAACATATCTATTAATTGTATTTTGGACTGCTTGGTCAAGTAGTAGTGTAATTGACTGCTAACACGTAAGCCTCGAGTTAAAACTTGGGTTTAAGTTTGTATAACGTCCCTGAGTCCACCCAGCTGTGACTGGTACCTGACTCACATTTTGGAAAGTATCGACTGCTGAACATAGAGCTGACAAAATTATCCCTTCACACGCCTATGTCACAGAAACAGGTGGACTCTACTTCACTTGCCTCAAAGATCGTAAACCTCTTTAAGAAATACATTTAAGTTCTTGCATCGTTCTCTAAGTCTGTGTACAATCTCACCCTCTAGGTTACGGCGACTGTGCCCGATGTTTCTACTGTGGTGGAGGTCTGAGGAACTGGGAAGACGAAGACGACGTGTTTGTAGAACATGCCAGATGGTTCCCTAAATGTGCCTTCATACGTCAGCTGATGGGACACGCCTTTGTGGATATGGTGCAGGAACTGAATAAAACACTTGATAAGGTTAGTACCACCCATTTGTAGAGTTATCACAATAACGTACCATTACATTTTGTATTGTTACCCACGTGAATTCTTCTTAGATCTTAAACGTAGAATTGCAAGGGATTTCCTTCTACACTATGAAGTATTACATGTCAACATGTTAAAGACCATTTAGACCGTTAGCTGCTTTTCTTTCTGGATCTGCTTCCATACCTTTGTCTGTTAAAGAACAAACTACAAGGAAGTTGTTGTTTGACTTTTGAGATGTTGCTCCGAAATGGGTTGCTATCCCCAGCTATCGAGCCTCATCCGTACTGCGGTTCGAACTCAGGTCTTTTCGGTTTGGTACCCATGTGCTTTACCGACCAGACACGACCCATGTACAATCAAATAACATTTGTCAACAGCGAATTACGATCCTTACTCAATAGACTGATTGCACTAAAACAATTGTTTAAGTTATTCAACTATCAATTATAATAGAGTTTAAAATGTTAAATAGCTGGTCATTGTACGAAATTATCTAGTTTGTTACATCATTACCTGTTTTTTATACGGAAAAAAATGTTTATTTGTTGTTGTTTTTTTCGGCCGTTAAGGATTATCCTTAAAATCATTGTGAAGTCTCTAATGTTTTATTTTTTCCCTCTAGATTCCTTACAAATTAGTTAAAGAGAAAATCGGCGCTCCTGAAAAAAATTCCCAGCTTGGTAAGTGTTATACCTGGGTTCTATATGTGTACCACAGCTATGCAGTGAGAGGGTAGAACTACCTGATCCAACACCATATTTCAACACCACTACCATCCGATTATGCTCAGCTATTCAGCAATTCATCTTGAAGCACGGCGACACTAACGCACACAAATGATTCGACAGAAAGACACCGTTTGCTAACTCAATTTATTGCACCATAGAAATAAACATCGGACAGCCTGAACACACGATACCAAGACTGGACAACCTAACCCTAACACAACACGAACAAGACTAATTCCAACTTCTTCCCCGGCAACAACGAACTCACACTAAAACGTCGCTTTCTTGCGTACAGCGCCACACACTCACTCGTTCAATATACGGCCGCACCATCAATCATGCGCACCAATTTCCCTAGTCGAACATGCATCATAACAGTAAGTATTGCCAATCGGCATAACAACACGCGAATTATTTTTCTATTAACGGATCTCATATATACATATATATTCATATATATTTTATGTATATATTTATATATCTGTGTGTGTTGTGTGTGAGTATAATATCGCACAGTCAGCACAATCCCTTACCTAACATTCACATACACAACTTTTTAGATATTATACTGCAGTTTGGAAACTCTCCCCTCACCCTCTCCCCACACTTATCGATATAATTTATTGTACTTGTCATATCATTGACAGGATTATTGCAGACGACTGACAACTAACACTATTACTGTTGACAACGTATCACCGATATTAACATGACACACCTCTAATTTCTCTTAACATCACCAGACACGAAAGACGAACCAATCAAAAGAGACCCTGCGGTTAGGGCAGTGATGGAGATTGGCTATAAGGAGAGTGACGTAGTGGAGGCAGCTAAGTTTGTTAAAAAACGAGGTAGATATTCGCATCAAGAATTTTAACAGTTTAAAATGCTGTTGTATTTAACATATTAGTATATATTAGTAAAATATACCCAGAAGCTAAAGCCAAATATATGTTACTGTGTTGGCTATATCTCGGATAAGACTTTTACCTCGCAGTTTTGGTTTTACCAAAACAAGTTCATATGTTTTATATCAATAAGTTTTGTATGTTAAAGAGATAAAATAGTGATTCTATTGTTCTGTGATGTGTAATAGAAATGCCATAATTATCCAACTGTTGTAATGTGTGTAACATATAAGCCATACTTATCCAACTGTTATAATGTGTGTAACAGAAATGCCATAATTATCTAACTGTAATAAAGTGTGTGACAATAAAAGCCATAATTATCTTTTTGTTAAATGTATGAAACATAAAAGCCATAATATTCTAACTTTTATATTTTGTGTAACAGACTCCATGCTGTCTGCCGACTCTCTCGTTGAGGAGTTAAAGAAAAGAAATTGCCAACAAACGGGCCAAAAGTTAGTCAGACAGACATCCTTCTCCATAGACAACGATAACGAAGGTTTGTCATTCGTTATGTCATGTGATAAATTTAATCTATTTTTATTTAAACAAATGTGTATCAATATTTACAAATATCTTGCTTAGAATATTTTTTTAAGTTGCATTGAAAAACGACGTCTATTAATGCACTAAAAAAGAAAAATACAATTTTTTCTTTAAATATATAAAAATACGCTACTATTTAAATAACTTTAAAGAAAAACGTGGGTTATTATATTATTATCTATTGGATACTTTTATTATTTTTTAGGAAGCTACCCACTCTGCAATTTGTTTTCAGTACTTTAAATTTTTTCATTTACAATATCGTTTCATGACTAAAAACGATTGCACACCTAATGAACATGATAACGCGTGTATAATAGTGTGGAAAAAGTAGCACAAGACTTCTACTAATTTCAGAAAATTTTAATTAATACATAAAAAAATTAATTAAGCTTCCATTCAAGTCAAATTTGAAGTCAGATTGTATTGTCTTTAAGTATTAACCCACGTGCCAACTTTGAAACGGCTGTCTGAAGTGCCCGAGATTTCGCTCAGCAGTTTTGATCTATGACGACAGATAGACTGTCACAGACAGGCGACGACAGACAGAGGAAACAAGTTAAATAAAAGCTTGTAAAAACGGGTAATAAATGTGGTGACTTTTATTTTTCTAAAACGAGAAATAAATATTTCTTTTTATCTTATTTTCCCAGAAGAGATAAGGAAAATGAAAGAGAAGAACAATGAGCTACGTCAGCAAACGGTTTGTAAAATTTGTATGGACAAAGATGTGGCTGTTGTCTTCTTGCCCTGTGGTCATCTCGCCTCGTGCACGGACTGTGCTGCTAGTTTGGACAAATGTCCGATCTGTAGGAACCCCGTCAAAGGAATTGTCCGCGCGTTTATTGGCTAAGGTGAAATATGTTATTTGACGGGGACGGCGTGGTCGAGTGGTTGAACGTTTCGCCCGAATGACTCGAGTTCAGATCCCGATTCTGACCCGTGACTGTAGGAAATCCTTGAGTTCAACTGACGTTAGAATTATAATTAGAATAAGAACCAGAATAAGAATTAGAAGTATTTATGGACATATATATATATATATATATATATATATATATATATATATATATATATATATATATATATATAAGGATATTGATATACATGAATATAAATATGTATATATATATATATATATATATATATATATATATATATATATATATATATATATATATATATATATATATATATATATATATATATATATACATTTCGATATACACAACTTTCCAAAAAATGCAAGTAGAACATGAAAAATGATTACCTGCTCTTTACCACTTAAGGTTTTGAGAAACGAACATACAAGCCCAAAGTTCTTCAGAATATACTTTGTATTTTTATGGGGAGGAGATGGGTAGTGTACCGACCGACGCAAGCATTGAGTTGCCCATTAAGATTGTTGCGAAAGTGACTCCTACCAATGCGTCTGAGTGGGCACCTTCACGTGTGTACTAAAGCTGATGTGGTACTGGTCCTCCCTGTTTCGACCAAGACCCACCAGGCGAACCGATTGCTACGTGCAACCGAATGGTACCCTACCATTTAATAAAAGTCGATGACGCGATTACACGTCGTATCAAATTGTGTATGCGAAAAATTATACTTTCTTTTTGATTGTTTCAAAGATTATGTGCATTGAAAGCTTGTAAACAAAAAGGACGTTTTTTTTCCATGTTATCAAGCACTGATAATTTGCCAACTGCATATAAAAACTTTTAACAATCACGTTTTCCAAATTTCATGTAAAACTAATACATTATGTTTATTTAAATAACACGCTTTCTAAAAAAAAAAAAAAAAAAAAAATGTTTGACACTGTTAAAAATGCCGTCCGCATTTCACACAATGGATAAAATCACACATTTACAATTTATAAATTATTATACTTTTATAAATTGTTAGTCCAATTAATGTATGAATATGTTTGTATTACTAATTTTATATATGTAAATATATGTTAATAAATAAATATTATGATGATACGTGGACATACAATTATGCGGATATCGGAAATTAGACTGGATACTATTTAGAAGTTATAAAAAACTGTATTTAAAGATACTGAGTGCCCTTTTACATTTGATGATGCATATTTTTTTGTATACGTTGGTATGTTATATTGTATTTTATAATATATACATTTGTAGGTATCTTTATACCAAACTCCTGCAAGTGCCATGTATTGGAGCTAGGTAGTGGGAATTTTATTTTTATTTAATTATAGAGATGAACAATTTGAGTAGTTAGAAAACAAATTAATAGTTGAAGTAGGATTTAGAAGCACTTAAATACGTTTATGTGAAATGCATATTTAAATGTAATAAAGTAAATACAAATTTATGATAAGTAAATAGTTATATTCAGATTTTTTAATTTTGAGTTTCTTATTGGTGTATGGCTCTTTAATGTTATACCTTGTGCTTGTGTTATAAATGTTGATTTTCTTATTTCGATGTTATAGCAAATATTATAAAATGATTTATTGTAAAATTGTATTATATTCTTCAATCTTATAAATAGTTTACAATGTAATATGTTTAAGTTCTGTATAAAAGAAAACACACAAAAATGTACTAAAATATAAACATAAATATGCTGGTATGTATTTGTATTTCTTATTAAAATATCACTTATTTAAAAAAATATGCTTTATAAATTAATTTCATTTTGCTTTTTATTTTAATGTAGATTTATTCTAATTTTATAAACAGATCTATTTCAACCACCGCTTAAAGGTTATTATTGATGCATTTGACTGATAAAGGTGTATGTGTGAACTTTAATTGTAACCGAAATAATATTATATCGTAGCCTTTATATATAAATTATAAATTGCTTAGAGCAAATGAAAACACTAATTTACTCAACAAAAAAAATAAGTATTATGTAAACATTTAACTGAAAATAAATGAAATAAATTTCGTTAACACGCTGGCATCAGAATAAAAATAATACTGTAATTAAAACACAAGTCAAATCAAATCTCACTTTTAGAACAACACACTGTACATAGATTAATAGCACCACTTCATAAACTTTAAGTCTGAAATCTATGGCTGAAAAATGTCTATTGTTAGTGTTTCTTTTTGCGCTGAACATTTAAAACTTCTGGTGGAGCTGGGTTAAGCAATGTCTGAAGTACACATTTACTATTTAAAAATATTATTATTTCTAAATCGTTTGTTAGACCGGTGGACGGTAGGGGAAGGAGGGGGGCGAGTGCATGAAGCCCCCGAATAGATACTAGAAAAAAAAACCAGTTTATTTTCCTGTCGGCTCCAAGTATTGGAGATGTAAGAGACGTAATGTGTACAAATCTCAACAATTCGAGATATGGCAGTCAATGATCGCATACATGTAACATGTTTTTAAAAATATTCACGTAATAATTTTTTTCAGATAACTAATTTTACAATATAAATAAGAACTTTTTATTATTTGATACTTGTTTAAGTTTAAATTCGGAAATATAAAATCTAAATACGCAATATTTGATTTGTTGTCTTTGTTAATGTTTTTGTATTAATATCGACAAAAAATATTTTTTAAACATTAAACATTACAAAACGTATTGAAATTGCAAAAAAAAAAAAAATTGACGTAAAATCAACTCACGTATTGAGCTTAAATCCATGTATCACCGCACACAACTTAAGAATTTTCCCTCTTTACTGTGCCAAACTCTCATACTCCGGATTACTGCAAACAAAATTTCATAAATCCAAAATTCAGTTTTATGAAGAAATCAACAGATGACGCAGCTGTTGCATTTATCAATTATCCACCCTCCTGCTGATATTTCTATAAATAATCAGTGTTAGATGATCCTGTTTAGTTCAATTTAGCCTGTTTTGAAAATTGTGTCACAGATTTCTTAAAATTGGATAAAAAAAAATTTCAGACAGAAAAATATAAATAAAATATTTCGCCAAGATTTGAAATGAAAATAAAATACCAGTCACTTTTCTATCGATTTAGTTAATAAAAAATAATACGTTTACTCTACGTAGATTTGGGATATTCTAAATTATTCGAACCGAATTCAGATGACACCACGCCTGGTTACGACCTGTCCCTACAGTGACCTATCTCTACTGCGCAGTAGTGCGTTACGCTAACTGCTGTGAGACATTACTTGATAAAGTGATGACTCTATAATAGGATGTTGTCAATTCGACAGGAGTAAATACGAGACGAAAGTAAAGCCATCTTATTTCTGAAGTGCATAGAGTTTTGAATGTTTTCACTGTTGAGAAATATATCTATATCCTTTGGTCAGGTAGTATATTTTTACATATTTTACTAAATTAAAACTGTTGTAATTTAATAGCCATATACTTAGATCTCGAGAAACACCTTTTCATTGCATATATATATATATATATATATATATATATATATATATATATATATATATAGAGAGAGAGAGAGAGAGAGAGAGAGAGAGAGAGAGAGCGAGACGGAGGGAGGGAGAGAAAGACTATTGTAAAATGTTTATATTGTTAACGCAAGCATGTTAGATTAATTTCTCAATGAAATTATTTGGTGCATTGGCATTTAAGATCAATCGTTCGACTTTTCTACCACATTTCATGGAAATTATAATACATTGTGTATCAACTGTATATACTATTCAAATTGCCTTCTTAATCAATTTGGATAGTTTCATTTTTAAATATATTCTAATAAGATTAGTTAGTTAAGATTAATGGGGAGTATACCTAAGTTTACAAATGAAAACTTAGTTGTATTTAAGTTTGTTTTGATTATTATTTCAGCTTAGATTCTAAAAATGTATTTAACTTCCTTCTTCTTTTTTTTTCTTTGGTTAAAAATATACCTGACATGTCAATATAAATAGAATTACGGAAATCCCAAAAATTCTCATATTTGATATTTCCGATTTTTTAAAATGACAGTGTAATGTGTTAATCCGTTTAACGACATAAAAAGATTTGCGGAAATTCAATTAAAGAATGTTAGTGTATTTTACACAAGACCATATTTCTCAAATTATGTTCTGAAATTCAGTTTTTTGGTTCGCACCTTCCGAACTTAGGTCTAGTAGTGTAAAAAATGATTTTCATATTTACAACGGCTGCGACAAAGTTGGCTGCTAAAATGTGGGTTAATTTAATACCTTAGTATTTAAAACGTATGTTTTATCAGCTGCATTGTGGAGATAATGAGAGTCATACTTGTATTATTACTAAGTGGAGCATAGGAGTGGAAGTAACAGGTTAGTTAATAACTATCTTTGGTTAATTAAATATCTGAATACGTTTTTTGTTGCTTGAGTTGTGGCTTTATTTGCCATCTTTTACGAGTAAGTTGAAAAATAATTTTTTAATTGTAATTTAGGTCAGCGTTTCTTCCAGACTTTTTTTTTCTGGGGGAAGGGGGACGGAGGGGGCACTTGATATTTTTTTTTGGGGGGGGGGGTACATTTTCCGGGGGCGGACCCCCGCAGACACCCCCCCCCCAAGAAATGCCTGAAAGAAACTCTGATTTAGGTTAATTCTATGACAAAAACAGCGACGTGGTCGAATTGTAGAGCTTACGACTGCTAACACTAAATTCTCGAGTTCATACCCGAGGATAAAGTCTGAAAAACATCCGGTTATGGGAAATCGTTCTATAGTTGATAGAAATTTTCGCACAGAATTTTATACTTCTATGTTAAATTTTGTTCAGATAGCCTAACGGTACTCAAGTTATCACCCAGCACTAAAGGGTACCTGACTAAAGTCAGGGAAACAAAAAACGCTGGGCATAGTCTAAGGCCGCTGAAATTTGTAAACTCTGCTTCATCTGCAACATGTGTCTTGTGCACGAATGGGACAATTTTTGTGATGAAATCGCATAACAATCATTGATATTAATTATTAAATTATTTAACTTGAGTTCTTATGAGAAGGTGACAACTATCCTTATACTTAAAAGATGAGTAGTATATGAGACTGTCTCGTAATAATTTTGTAATAAGAACATTCAAATGTGAAAATTAACAAAACCATCAACTTATCAATCCGATATTATTTAAAAGTATTGTTTTCGTTGGTTTGAAACTATAATATATTCAACTTTTTTTTTAGGTCGCCCAGCGTCTGAGCGAAATGGATAGCAGTGCCACCATATCAGTAGGTACACGTCCAAAATCAATCAATGGGATAGCGATCGGCTGTTTTAGGGATGAGCGTTGGAGATTAAGTTCATTTAGAAGTTTTGATTGGAGTTCAAAGAATTCACCAACTTTATTGGCGCAAGAAGGGTTTATGTACATCGGATCTGATGGGTGCGGGGAGGGGCAGGTGATGTGCTACTTCTGCTGGAACCTATATAGTTTGAGTTGTAACGTGCTGGAAGAACACCAAAAGTGCAGAGATTGCCCAATGCTGACGGGGATTTCCTGTAAAAATATTCCCTTTAACGGAACGCAAGTGGAAGAACAGAAAGAGCAGAAACCTACAAGTAAACCTAACTTGAAACCTACAAGTATACCTAACTTGAAACCTACAAGTATACCTAACTTGAAACCTGCAAGTGAACCTACCCTGATGACTGAAGCTAATTCAGACCTAGAGGAACCGAAGAAACTGTGTGAACCGACCTCAGAGAGTCCAGCGATACCCACGCGTGAAGAGTGTTACACGGTTTCTCTAAACGCTGGACGTGAAAACTGTAGCTCCCCCAACGCCAGTGTGAAGACGGAGAAAGTTCAGGATCTCACGACTACAACTCACACCGAGACAGACTATACAGCCCAAGACAATTTGACATCCACGAATAATCCTGCCAAAATATTTAGAGAAATTGACGAAGATTCGACTGCTACATTTCATATTGACAATCATGTGACGGGTAGTAATTTAATGTGCAATCGAATGACAACCACAGTTGATTCTACCTCAGTGTGCGAGGCTCAGGAATTTAAAACTGATTTTGCTCATTTCTACCCTGTGGATGCTACTGCTCAAAATGTATCAGCTATTGCTGATACAGCTCTAGATATAAATACCTCAAACACTGCTCAAACTGAAAGATATTCAACAACTACTTCCTACAATAGTAAATCTGTGACTGCCACTTTTTCTTGTACAGATTTGACTCCTCAATCGAATACTGCTCACAATTGTAAATCTTTAAATGGTTCTGAACATACATGTACAGTTCCTGATAGTACTTCTTCAGATTATACTGTCTCTGTAGAGTCTCGTATTAACCGTGCAATGTCTGAAGCTTCAGCTAAAGGATTGAGTGTTGCAATGTCTGAAGATTCATCTATAGGATTAAGTGTTGCAATGTCTGAAGATTCAGCTAGAGGATTGAATGTTGCAATTTCTGAAGATTCATTTATAGGATTAAGTGTTGCAATGTCGGAAGATTCATCTATAGGATTGAATGTCGCAATGTCTGAAGCTTCAAATAGAGGATTGAATGTCGCAATGTCTGAAGCTTCAACTAGAGGATTGAATGTCCCCCCTGCCAATGTCCAAAGATGTACAACTCCTGGTGCTGCCTCTCGTGTGTATGATGTCACTGACGGCAGTGCTGATCCTCCATGCATCCACCCCAACCGTCAAAACGAACATGTAGCAAGATCTGTCCAACATAGAATATCGCCGGGGATATCTGCATCACGTGACAATGCAAGGCGAGCTGATGCCCACGGTCGACGTTTCTTTCAGTACACTCCATCAACCAAAGATACTTACGTCATATCTACAGATAATTCAGATGTCGTTCTAAATTCTCATGCAACATCTTCGCCTTTAACGTCGCCGGCCTTATTTGCAGCACAATCCAATGCAGGTAATGTGTTACAACCTATATAATTTTTCAAAAAAAGTAATTGTATGAAATATATTTTTAAAGTTTCTGTGGTATTAAAATTGTAAGGGTATGTTAAAAGGTGTATTTTTGTTCCACTTAACCTGATTAATTAATTAATTAATTTACAGCTTTGTACTCATCCAACTCTACGAACAACAACGAGCCGATTCGACTATCTGACGATCAAGATGTTTGGTCTATTGTGTCTATAGCACAAGTTCCAATAAGGGAACATGCCTCAGCAGCGGTGCCAAATACTCCGCATGTCAATGGATCATCTAGCGTAGAGGCAGCGAGCAGTAGTACATCCTTCAGTTGTGGAGTTTCCGGTCAAAATCCAACCAATATGACACTGCGAACTCTAGAAGCGGTGAAGTATCGGGATCTGGGAGCAGTTTCTGTGCCGCGATGGGATACCCAGTTGGCGTTGGCGGATAGTCGTCGCGAAACTTTAGTAAACTTACAAAACTACTCAGAACAGGACAAAACAATATTGGCAAATGCGGGAATAATGAGTAAGTTCAAATAAAATAAACTATAGAAATGTCTACATATTTTTTAAATCTGGTCTTAACGTCTTAATTTAAGTTGGTAAATATGTTTACACCATTACGCGACTTAAATCTCGAGCTTTTATTAAGCCTTCCCGATTTACTGTATTAATTAAAACGTATTACTACATATGTAATTTCCTGCAACATCTTTATAGTGTTATTTTTGGCTTTGGCGAATTCAGCAACGAAAGTCTTTAACTTTTAAATGATTCTAAGAATATATTAAAAAATTGTGTTTTAAACTTTTTGCATTCAATAACTTACGCACAGTGACAAATGATTATCTAGTTATTTTTTTCCTTTAAATTTGTATATTACTTCAACAGGGATACGTCAGAAACTACGCTGTTACTGGTGTAACTGTAAACTAGAAATTGCCTCGGTGTCTGATGTAAAATTAAACCACTCGACCAAGTCTCCCGCTTGCAGGTTTTCGGAGGATCTGTTTTGTGTAAGTATAAACTACTTACTGCTTATAAACTACTTACTGCTTAGAACTGAACTTTGGAAATGGACACTGCAGCATCTAGATTTAATTTATTTGTTTGTGTAGAAGTTTATGTAATATTTAAAACGCACTTTTTGGATGTTCCCATGACTTTCCTTTTTCTTTTTATTTTGTGGAAAATTTAAGTAAACATGTATTTTATCAATTCGAAATAAACATTTTAACTTGGTTCAGAATAAATTTCCGTTCACATTTCGTTAAAGTAATTGTCATATATAATAATTAATTGAATATGCTTACAGGCTACTACAACAAGTGATGAAACTGAGAATCTTAGTACAAGATTTGGTAGGTCTTGTTTTCTTATCACAGCCATTTAGTTTAATTTTCAATAGTATGTAAAAGCTGACCACGAAGTTTATAGATAACTCGCAGGATTGTGCATATATATATATATATATATATATATATATATATATATATATATATATATATATATACATATATATATATATATATATATATATATATATATATATATATATATATATATATATATATATATATATTCTCATATCTATATACACAAATATTTATAGCCTATCAAAGTTATATATTATATATAGGCGTAAATACTATATAAATAATTTATTTATTTATAACGGGTATATATGCATCCATGTTGTATGTTTTTATTAATTACTGCTCTAATATTGTTCCTAATTTAAATTACATGAGACCCATCGAGCCATCAAACATGTGATATTGACCCTGTGGTTCTCGCGTTACTGGAACAAGGATACACTGAAGATGACGATGTAAATGCAATGGAAAGCAGCTTTACAACAGGTACTTTAATACAGGAATTTATGGAAAGGCATAAACGTGTTTAAATTGCAAGAAGTTAAGTTTATTAAATATAGATTGGACCTTGGGCTTTGTCGAAACGAACGGTGGCAACTACAGCAATGACAATTAAAATTAGGTAACTATTATTTTTCTGATAAGGAGTTATATACATTTCAAATTATTGACTTATATACCTAGTTTAACATCCATTTTATTTTTTTAAATATGTTTCTTTACTATTTCATATTAACTCTTTTTAATTAAAAAGATATTAAAGTGTTTTAACATATAGACACATACTCTATTGATACTATTATTACCAGAGTGGAGTGTTAAAACCTATAATTTTTAAATAAATTATTTTAACGTAGCCCAGTTACTTTGTGACATAACCTAGTTAATACAAAAGAAACTCGTTTAGGATATTAGAACAACTAGTTAAGAATAACAAAATTTAATAACTCATTTAAATTCACATTTAGTTAAATTCAGTAGATTAAATATTTAAATAGTAGATACTACCGCTGTTTGTTTATTTCTCAGCTTTAATAGTATACAATGAGTTATAATTATTAATAATTGGTTACTATAATTGTTTGATTAATAGTAAAAAAAAACAACTATTATACTTGATCGATGCCTCCAATACATTTCAGTGCTGGCGTACGTATAACGACTGGCAGTTATGAATGTAAAAGTAATTTCTCCAGAAAGTTTTTAATACAATTTTTTTATTTGAAACTTAAGACGACTGATTGATACGTATGTTTGCATTTCTTTCTTTCTTTAATACACTGACACCTCTTTTTATTGTGTTTAGACTCGTAATATGTAGTTATCTTTTGCAATGTGAATTGATTTACCCGTGTTACATAAATCAAAATAAGTTAACAAATGTGTGTTAAATTCGTACACTCTGCACAATGCACGGAAACTAGACCTAGTTTTATCGTTTTACGCCATTTCGTTTTAAAGCAAATAACTTTGAAGTGGGAAATGATAGAAAATTATTTATAAATGTATCACTCTTTATTTTAGTTCATTTTTTAAATAAGTTAATATATTATATTTACTTCAGAAACCAGTTATCATATTTTTTTTTCAGAATTAACTGAACTAAAAGTCATTTCTTATTTGTTTAAATATATATTTTTTATTTTAAAATTTTTTGCAGTGCAGTATTTTAAACTGTAAATGATTTTTTTTTTACATTTTTTTTAAACGAACATTTTTTCCATGATTACTCTTACAGTAAGCCAATAGGTTTTCTTCTTGCGCGGCACCCACCAATTGCTCTAGTGTTTTAAACTTCAAAAGTTTGTTTGGCTTACAAGGTTTCAGAATAACTCATATTTAAATTTTTACAATTAGAAAAAAGTATTAAAAAAACCTGATTTTGTAAGTAATGATGTTTTTTAAACATAATAAGCATAAAAAATAAAATCGCTGTTAACAAACTATATATATATATATATATATATATATATATATATATATATATATATATATATATATATATATATATATTTATTTATTTATTTATTTATATACGAATCACTTTAAACAAAATAAACAAAATATATATATATATATATATATATATATATATATATATATATATATATATATATATATATATATATATATATATTTATTTATATTTATTTATTTATTTATATACGAATCACTTTAAACAAAATAAATTTAAAAAAACAAATATGTAATTATTTTAAACGTTTTTTAAATGAACAAAAACAAGCGATGACATTGTTTCAAATATGTTTAGATGAAAACATGGTTGTTGTAAACACTTACTTGGTTCAGAGACTTAAAATTATATGACCTAATGACGTACTTAAATAACATAGGTAAAATAAAAATACAGTATTTCAAATTGTCAAATGTTTTATATTGTATCTTTTTTTCTAGCGATAGAACAGATGGCAGAGAAAAACGAACAATTGAGAAAGAGGATGGTCTGTAAAATTTGCTACGAGAACAAGATGAATGTGCTGTTGCTGCCCTGTGGTCATCTCGTTGGTTGCCTGATCTGTGTTGCACGTCTAGAGACATGTCCAGTTTGCCGATCAAAATTTCAATGGCGTGTTTTAGTAAACATTCCCAAATAATAAAAGAATTTGTCATAAATACCAAATAAAAAAATTTGTAAAATTTAATATAATCAATTATATACTTTGAAAAAAAATCTATTGGAATTAATGTTATTAAAATTGTTTTAAAATTCAATTCAATTGTGAAAGTTATGTTTACAATTTGTCTTAAGTGGATAATGTAGTCTTCAAATATATATATATATATATATATGTATATATTTATATATATATATATATATATATATATATATATATATATATATATATTTTTTTTTTTTTTTTTTTTTCTAAATATTTAAAATAAAATAAAACTTATATTGTGTTCTTTTTATAATTTTCTCTTCGTTCTGTTTATTTTTTACATAAATCATTCAAGCTGTTGTCAAGAAGAAATTAAGAAGGTACCTTAAAATGCCAATCATTGATGGAAAGATACAAATAGAGTTAACTAAATACTATAATGAACAAAGTTCTGTACACCAAAAGCTATAACGATGTAAACAAATATTACATCAAATATGAAAAAAAAAGAAAACACAAATATATATACATATATATATATATATATATATATATATATATATATATATATATATATATATATATATATATATATATATATTAGATTAAATTGAAAACCAAGAAATAAATAATCAAAAGAAGAAAATTTTTTATATGAAAAGTTTTTAAAATGCAGCAAATGTTACATTCAATTGGAAAACAAGAAAAAAATTAAAATGACATGTTTAGCTTTACACTATGCTTCGGACTTGGAACAAGGCCGGCAAAATAGTGGCTTCATCATATATATAAAGCTGGAGTGATCTCCCGTGAACTTTCTCAAAAACGCTAATATAAAACTACGGGAGATGACAACTTTTAAAAACCAAACTTTTTACTTGCTGGTATACGGAGTATAGAGGAAGTATTGTAATCGTGCACAAAAATCACATGAAATTTTGACAGTTTTCAACGTTTTACGCCTAAGTACTTCATCATATACGGAATATAGGTGATTTATCATAATCGGACAAAAATTATAAATCTAGATTTATCATCGTTTCGGCGATTGTAGTGTCTGTAGCAAGATACCTTGAGTGTCGTTACAGCTATGTTGATGAAACTTTCATATATAAATATACTTTATAAATTCATATGCATTTTTTTGAGAAATCGGAAAATGGCGTTAAGTACTACTTCCGGTCACCGAAAATCACTCAAAACGGAAGAATTAGATTCTTTACTTATATTTGAAATTTCGTCTATTAGAAACAGTATTTAAGTTTTAGGCTTTTGAAAACCGAAAGTAGAATGAGTTCCACTTCCACCTAACGAAATTCGCTAAAACGTTGATACAGACCTACAAATACTAGCTGTAAAGGTACCGATGTTATCGTGTTCACAGACATACAGACTGACGGACAGACGGACAGACGAACAGACGGACAGACGAACAGACGGAGAGACAGACAGACGGACAGACAGACAGACAGACACAAACACACACACACACACAGGGACAAAATGTCAAAACTAAGTTTTTCCTACTGAGAGTGGTGTAAAACGTCGAGATTTTTCGATTCGTTTGCATCATTATAATACCTTCTCTATACACATTCAAACACTGGCAATAGATACGTGCGGCAGATTGGTGGAATGCCGGGTAAGAACGGTTGAACTTTTAAAGAGTGAAGGAAAAGTCAGTCTTACGCTTCATAAAAATTAAACACATATTTTTTTAAAAGTCAGTAACTAACACGGTGTGGTTTTTGAAGAATATAACAACAACAAAGAACCACTGGCAGCGATTTATATTATGGATACCACTTCGTTGTATTAACAATTGGGGGATCCCCGAATACACTTGATAATTACTTGATAGTTACTTGATTAAAGAATAACTGCACCACGTTTTCAACACAATTTGTTTTATACATTTGCAATTCAAACTACATTCCTGTAAATTCAACGTATTAATTTTTTCCAAATGAAAAAAAGATTAAATTGATTTGAACTTCCTTTCTTATTAATTAAGTATTGTTTTCACAACTATTATTAGAATTTTGTCTAGTTTTCACTGTAATTGAAAACCGAATGTAGTCAAACAACTTGGGGGTAGGTTTAAGGAAATAGAAAGAGCAGGATTTGTAGAGGGAAAAATATATTTCCACACCGTTGGTGTTCATTTTGCTTGACGAAACGACTTAACAAACAACATAGACTTACCCTGACAATCTAAATGGCCAGGTGAAAACATTCGATCAAAAGGCTAATATTACAGAAAATCTTCAAGCAAAATTAGACGCAAAGATTACAACATAAATGCAAAACGCGAATTTACCCCCGAAAATAAGCTTCCGAAAGTTTGACCATCCCCTTATTGGCTCCCAACAATATGTAAGCGGTTAAAAATGAATTATAAAAAAAAAATTAATTATAAAAGAGCAGACACGTGAAAAAGAGGTTAGTGTGTGGTGGGGCCTAAATGTACAGCAAAAATTTAAAAAGCAAAGAAAAACACACTTCTACGTTCTCTATGACGTTTACGTTTTTGTATAACTATATACTTTTAGCTATATATTTAACTATATATATATATATATATATATATATATATATATATATATATATATATATATATATATATATATATATATATATACATATATAGTTATAGCTATAGTTATACATACACGTAAACGTAAACGTACACGTAAATATACATTTATGAAAGGATCGAGAGACAATGGTAACATTTGTGAAGTAGACATCTCATCTATTTTGTTAAATTAATTGGGAATTTCCGATTACACCATATTTCTAATTCTGTATATTCTTTTACAATTTAGTTTAAGAAACACTTTTAAAAAATACTTTGGGGGGGGGAGTTTTTTTTTTTTACATTTCTGAAAAAAACATTTTTGCTTTAAAATTACTATAAATAAATTTTTTTCAATACGCCATGACATTTCGGGAATTTAAAAATTCTTATCTTTTGGCCACGTAAGGCAGAGGTTAGTTATACTGCTGACTCATATCATTTCGAGAAAAGTTCGCTGTGCGAGAACATGTAACTGGGAAGTAAATAATAACGCGTACGTAAATTGCAACTAGTAAACTATATATAAATACATACACATATATATATATATATATATATATATATATATATATATATATATATATATATATATATAAACATATATATGTATATATATATGTTTACATATATTTATAAAATTTTATATATATATATATATAGCCTATATATATATATATATATATATATATATATATATATATATATATATATTTATTTATTTATTTATTTATTTATCTATATATATAGATAGGAAAGACATACATATATGTCACATGAGAGAGCAATGTATTTACTTTATGCTTACATAATATTATAATCACATCTGTTCATGTAATATATTATCTTTTAATGGGCCTGTTATCATTTTAATGTCAACTTACAAATCAATATGTTTATATTGTTTTTTGCTTTACATTTTTAAATTAAACATATTAAGTCCAATAATTTTGAGTGTTAAGAATTGTGATGCCTTTTGTAGAACTTTTAGATTATGTTTGCTTGTGTTTTTGTTTTAAGTCAAAAGTTCTCACGATACATGTATTTAGCATAATAGATAAATCTATGGTTTTGTTTATTTTGTTTTTTCACTTCAACACAAAGAATATGTGATATATACTATTCCCATGCACATTGTACTTTTTTAAAGAGATATATTTGTCTTTAACTTACATTTGTTATCTTAAGCTGTGTACATTAAACGTATTCAATTTCTGTCATATATTCATGTGATCCTATTTTGTTTCTCATCAAAATACACGAAACAAAAGAAAGAAAAATATTACGTTTTTCTGTTCATCACTTTGAATATGTACTTACACTTTCGCTTTATGTAAGAAGAAAAAACAGTTTCACTTTTTGAAAATTAACGATAACGGGCTAAATACAATATGTGTGCATCTATTTATATTAGATAACAGGGTTATATAATGAGTGTTTTAAACTCACAGGTTTAAATTCAAACATGGGAGGCGTTTTGTCTATCGCGGAGGATACTTCAGTACAGGAAAGTTTGTGGAGGATACGCTGTGTGCACACAACACGTAGAGCTCTTTTGTTGGATAAGATTCATCGACGTAGACGTCCTATCAGAACAGGAAGAGTAATATTTGCAGTACGGCATAAGACCCCAATACAATTTATTAATAGGCAAGCATTTTATTTTACGGTTTATGTGTATTTGAATCGGAAATTCATGTTTACCAACCAGGAAGTCTTGAGTTCGGTTCGCAAACTTGTGATCCATGTGAATCTGACTTGACGAAAGTTAAGGTGGTTGGTCGTTGTGATGACCACACGGACCCTTCGTATGCTGAGGCCAGAAAACCATCCCGTTTAAAAAAAAAGGCTTTCTTTTTTTTTCTTCTTCATTCTTGATTGTAATGTTGAAAGAGATTGCCAATACATTACAGTTAAGTATTAAATGTCAACTGGCTTTGGTGCCATTTCGGCCGTTGACTCAGATTTCAGCGTGCTTTTTGGATTTGCATAAATAGCTTTTGTCCAACCAAAAACAAACAACAAGGCAGCAGTTGTTTGAAACTGGAGTTGTCTCTCCTTGATGGGGTAGTGTCCACAGCTGTTGAGCCTTGACTACCGGGTAGTTCGAACTTGAGACTTTTTGGTTTAGCAGCAAAACTCATTACCGCCTCTTTATTAATTATTAATAGGCTTGAAAAGTCTATGTAATTGTACTAATTTGTTTTTAAATCTTAAAAAAAATATGGCAATAGTTAGATTTGAAAAAATAAAGCTATAGGAACCATCGATTGCACTCTTTATTTGTATTGAATAAAAACTGTTTTGAATTATTTTTTCAGTTCAAATATTTAAAACAAAAACCGCCCTCAGTCCCTCATTGGAGTCAACCTGAGTGATCAGGGAAAGTAAAACAATGAAAGTCACGACAATTGTTTTCCATGATAAAATACACAATTGCGGTCAATGGTGTATAAAATAGTAGTTTATACTAATCCGAATTAAAAATAAAAGTGTTAGCTAAATTACCATTATACTGCAAGTAATTATTTGTTTGAATATCTCTAGCCTTAATGAAACCGGAAGTAATTTTGTATTTATTTCTGAAATGTTATTAAAAAAATTCAATTTTGGTTGAAAAATATGCTTTCTGGCAACAACCATTTTGAACTATTTGGAACCAGCTTATCAAGCTTCTTGTGCCAGGTTTCTTCTAAGTAACACCAAACAATTTATGAACCAAAATAAAATGAATGGAGAATTATTTTGGTTAATTGATATAGAAACATGGGCGGATCTACTCTTCAAACTGCGAAAGGGAGGGGGCTTATGTTGTTATGCTCGTGTTATTTATAATTGCATGTCTAGCTGTGGGTGGATCTATACTTATACAACTTAACAAAAACTCCTATGGTTAGATAACAACTCTTTTGAATGTTTTTAAAGTTACCTAAGCCAGCTTATATCAGTATTTCATCGATGTTCAATTTGCAGATATCTCAAACAGAAAAAGCAAGACAAAGCGGCAGACCAAAAGAGAACATTGTATGTAAAATGTGTGGAAGTAAATCATACAAAAATAGTTGACGATTTTTTTTCTTGTAGTGATTATAAGAGTAATTGTATATCTGTTTCGAATGAGAAACAGTTATGCAATTCTACTTTTATACTTAAGGAAAAAGAAAATGATAAATATACAAATAAAATATTTGAAAACTGTGAGGGTAAAAAATTAACTTTGTTTGAAGAATTATTTAGTAGATCTAACTTCTTCAAAATAAAATCACAAACTATTTTAGATGTGTACTATCAGCCCGGATTCGTCCCCCCTAAAGTTATAGAAGGAATATTGTGGGAATGTCTAAATGTGGAACAGTTTAGATTAGTCACGTTCTGCAAATATCCCATAACCGGTGCACAGTCGTCATTGGTACTTGCTGCTAACGGTTTCGTGTATATCGGCACAGGCGCAGACGATTCCGTTCTCTGTTATTTTTGTTGTAGGGGTAAGAAAAACTGGTTGAGGAATGAAAACGTCAGCAACACGCATACAGCTTTGTCGCCAAACTGTTCCATGGTGACTGGAATAGATTGTAAAAATGTCCCGATCGTTTCTCGCGTGAAAGGAGATTATAGCTTTGACCAGCTGGTCAAAATACTTCAAAATAAAAACAGTTCAGCGAATGCTAATTGTGATGTACACACCGATTCGTGTAAAGATCTTCAGCCTCAATTTGATAGTCAAAATGAGGTCAAACCACCGTCTCATAGCGACAGAAGTAGAGTAAATAAATCAAACGATATAGAAACTGATAGTTTACCTGAATTGGTAGATCCAGTATCACAACAGCAGCAGTCGACACCACGGCGCAGCCACCACACGCAACAATCAGCTACAGTACAGCAGGGCTTGAAGCAAGGTCTTATTCACGATAGCGCGTCACGTTCAACTCTGGTTTCCAATGCAGCACCAGCGGCCAACCGGATGTCAGCAGCGTCGGATATTTCAAACGTTACGTCATCACAAACAACTTCGTTTCTCCGTGGTGATCAAACACCGCAGCTACACGTTACGTCATCACAAGTGCCACATTCACAAGTTTCTGAAGTATCAGTGTTAAGCACTCAAAATCTTCCAGCTACAGCCTGCAATTCCCAAAACCTATCAACAACAACCTCCAATTCCCAAAACCTACCAGCAACAGCCCCCAACGCCCAAAACCTACCAACAACAACCACAAATTCCCAGACTCCAGCATCCAACCCAGAGAACCAGACCAACATTAACACGGCACCACCTGAACAGGTCACTGTCAACTCTGAGAAAGGTAAAGGCCGCGGGCCGACCTACGCTGAGCTGGGCATCATAACAGAGAGAGCCAAGCGTCCGGAATATGCCATCAAGTCAGAGAGGACGAAAACATTTGAACCCTGGCCCAGGAACCACCACCTAGCCGTACCTGACCTTGTGGAGGCTGGCTTTTACTACGCTGGTTAGTTTAGTTTTTTTTTTTTTTACAATTGTATACAGTGTTTCTTCCAGACTTTTTTTTCTCCGGGGGGGGGGGGGGGGGAACTTGATATTTTTGTGGATGGGGGGGGGGGGGAGACAACATTTTCCCGGGGGTGGACACTGGTAAAAGTATGTTTTCTATATAAATTCAATTTCGTTCCAGTAGAGATGCCTGAAAGAAACACTGTTTGTATAAACAATAATTAGCTATAAATAAATAATTTATTGCTAATGCAAAAAAAAAATGTTTATTGCTTATAAAATATTGTTCACTAAGAAAATAATGTCAATAAATAAAATATAATTGCACAGCTTACAAATAAAACTTAGATTTAGTTAAAGATGCTTAATCCTGTTTGTCGTATTTTTTCACGGTACAAATTATATATATAATTTTATATTATGCTACACCAGGATACGGCGACTGTGCCCGATGTTTCTACTGTGGTGGAGGTCTGAGGAACTGGGAAGATGAGGACGACGTGTTTGTAGAACATGCCAGATGGTTCCCTAAATGTGCGTACATCCGTCAGCTGATGGGACACGCCTTCGTACACACGGTTCAAGACTTGAACAAAAGCTACGATAAAGTAAGTAGAATTGTATGTTTCTTTTAATGTACACAAAGATGGGAAGAAAAGGTGTTATTGTCGTTTTGTTGGTATTTAATGAATTTCACAATTTCAGATTCCATTTAGTCTTGTTCGGGAGAAAATAGGAAACGTTGATATAAACTCACAACTCGGTATGTTTTTGCTCAAACACACACACACACACACAAACATACACATATACACACAGACACACACAAACACGCAAACACACCGACTTATACAAACACGCACATAGATAAACGATGTTTATATATATAAGAATACTTATACAGGCATACAAACTGATACATGTATACATATATATATATATATATATATATATATATATATATATATATATATATATATATATATATATATATATATATATATATATATATATATATATTGAGAGAAGGAGAGAAAAATATAGATATTATATTTCATTTACCTTGATGTTAGAATTAATATAACTATTTGGAACATTACATTACAGTGGGGATCAAGATGGAATCTTTAAGCCGGGATCCCGCTGTGAGGGCTGTTGTAGAGATTGGTTATAAGGAGGATGTTGTACTAAAAGCTGCCAATACCATCAAAATGCAAGGTATGTATTATAAAGTTGATTTTTTAAAATCATTTTATTTTCATAAGGACTCGTACATTGATCGAGGAATATATCAAAACATCGCTGTATTACAAAATGAAACTATTTATAACAATTATTTTCGGACTGTTATAATGTAAACATTGACTAATTGCGTTTGTTAACAGATAAAGAAAATACGTTATCTGCTGACTTGATATTGGACCAGCTGATAAAGATGAACTGTCATCAACCGCCCAACAAGGTTCTTGGGGCGACTCAGGCGAACGTTCAGGAAGATAAAGGTAGTTTTTTATTTAATTTATTGTCCTTCGATAGATTGTGATAACAATGGCCTAACTCCAATGTTCGAAGCACCAAACTATATTTTAATTCTTGTTGTTTTTTTAACTTATTGATTGGAGATTATAACTTACAAAAATTGTGTTTGTTTTTATTTTAGAGCAAATAAAGAAGATAAAAGAATCCAACTCAGAGCTGCGCAGACAGACAGCGTGCAAGATTTGCTTCGACAAAGAAGTTGCTGTTGTCTTCTTGCCCTGCGGTCATTTCGCGGCCTGCAGCGATTGCGCTGTGGCGCTTAACAATTGTCCAATCTGTAGGAAACAGGTCAAAGGGGTTGTGAGAGCGTTTATCGGCTAAAGGTAGAGAGTGGCCGAGTAACAGAGCGTTAGCTTGCGAACGCGATGAGACTCCATACAGCCTCCAGGGTTAAAGCGCGAAGTATCCCCCATAATCTTACGCGCATTGAAATCTGCATGGCGCCCCGTGTCTTGGGAGGAGATGCTGGAAAGCGAACAAGGGGCACGAAGCGCCTTGTGTACAATCATCTCACCAAGAAGGCTAAACCCCTCACATTCTCATCAAGCTGTGTAAGAAATGGCCTAGAGTCACAGCTCAACATCTCAGCAAGATGATTTAAATTAGAAGTAGCCGCTAGCCGTGAATAAGCTACAGAACTTTGCGATATGCCGTCATGCTAGCTCAGACATCTTAGTCTGACTAAGCTCACTCATCGATAATGCTTCACTCTAAATTTTCGAATCCCATATTTGATCTTTGGAAACGATTGTACACTTTATTTTTTTTTGACGTCACTTGTTCTTTTATGTTTCTTCGTGAAGAAATACTACTCTAGACTGAAGTATATTATACTAAAATCATTATTAATTACGCAAATTTTAATATAATAGTAGCTCTCACATAATGATGTAACTATGTTAAACTTAAATATCCACAGTGGTCTTTACTAGATTTAATATTGTAAACGTGGTAGGCTGTGGGGGGAAGGGGGAGTAGCTGTAAATTCCCAATTATGCTTGCATATTTGGCCTTTTTTTAATGACTAAAGTTCAGTATACATAACCAACAAGACTGCATGTATATAATATTGACGGAGTTCTTTTGTTGGGGACGAGGACTAAAAAGAATCTGCAATTTGTTTAAAAAATTTAATGTTTACTTATAGCTATGGTAACTATCAACATTTTTATCTACTAGAATTAGTTATTGAACTATAGCTTTGTATCGCCCCTGAGAAGATCATCCTCGTTCGAGTTTCGTTGTTTTTTTTCTTTTTCTTGGATTTTCTTCCTTACAAGTCTACATAGGGGTCTTCTAGTCATGCGCCCAGTGACGTAAGGGCAGAGCCTCGTTACTTCGGTAACAAAAGATTGTATGTATATATATATATATATATATATATATATATATATATATATATATATATATATATATATATATATATATATATACATATACATATACATATACATATACATAATATAACAATTTGGAAAACGTAAAAATGTTTTTTTTATATGAATAATTAAGATACTCAAGCGAAACGCTGTTGCAGCAACTTATATTATTTTTGGAAAGGTTGGCGTGTCCACTTCCCTGTTTAACTTTGTTGTGATTATTCAACTCCTGTGTTCGGGTTTGTGTTGCATTTCAATCCGATTAACCTTACATCGCTGGATATTTCCAGGAGAGTTTGAATTCACTAAAACATTTAAGATTGTGTCTGCTTTTTCTGCTTTTTCGTGGTCTGCCGTTCTTCTAGATTCTAGCTATTTTTTTTTAAAGAATCATTACCAGATGTTCCATGAAGAACTTCGTTAGAACAGTAAGAGAACAAAGGAGATATTTTATCGTCGTGCTTACCATATTGACACAACCAACATGTTGTTATGCATATTACAAAAGAAAATAAATAAAACGAAATTGAAACAAACCCATGGTTAAGTTGTATCTTAAAATATCAGTGTTTTTTAATGTGTATTTTGATATTGTCGTTTCTTGCAACGGAGATCCGACTTAAAATGATAAAATGAAAATTCCACTTTATCCAAGTTTTGACACCAGGTGTGTTTCTTCAAATTTTTCAGAAACATTTTTATTTTCGTAACTGCTACAATTTAGTCTGGGTACATTAAACTAGAAGAAGATTTTTTTTTTGAAAATCCATTTATGATTCCACAAGAAAGGGGGAGGAGAGGGGGAGGGGGTGAGGGAAAAAATTGACTTTTATGGACGCATGTGTACAGGGTCGGGTCCACGTTTACATCAACATGCTGAATTTAACGCTTACATTTTTAAATGCTTACAGTTTTTAAGTAAAAAAAAACAACTAGTAACCTGCGTATCAAATGTATACATTAAATCGGTAGTTCTAGTATTTAAACACTAAAACCCAGCTGTATAGGGTAAATACATCTATACTGGGATCATCGTTGATTGACGCCACAAAACCTCACAAAAAACACCATCCACAAAAATGCCGTTACAACTCATTCTTTCAACCACCCTTCAAAATTTTATTTTTTTTAAACAGTGGTTTGTTTGTAAAATATTTACTGAGTACAGTCAACATTAATTATATGAATTAGTTATATTATTAAAATTAACAAAAACAAAGTTTTAAAAAACGCGAATGTCTTTACGGTTAAAACTCAGTTTTTTAACATCATTGCAAAAAGATTTCTTCAAATTTAAATCCATCTCTCATGTTCTTACATAGGGCCCGTTTATAAAGCTAAAACAAACTATTTATTTCAATCAGCATACTCTACGTTCTACTTTGAATATTTAGGCATAATTAAAGGCATTACAGATACAAATAAATTCTTATATTAAAACGTCAATTAACGGCATAGCAAGGCAGAGGCGTAGCGAGCGATCCTTCCCGGCGCCCGGGGACAAACTTTTCGATTTGCACCCCCCCCCCTTCAAACTTTCAATTTGCACCCCCCTCAACCTTTCAATTTATTTTTCCAACCCATTTAAGCGCCCCCTAAGGTCGGCGCCTGGGGACATATGTCCCTCCCCCCCCCCCCCCCCTCGCTACGCTAATGTAGCAAGGTTTAAAATGTTTGTTAGTATTATGACAGGTCTTCTAAAATTTGTATACACCTTTACAAGAATTAGAAAGCACACAAGGAATTAAAATCAGAACACTTACTATCCCCTTCTCACATCACCATTCGGCAACCCTCGATTATTTCACTAGAACACAAAACATTGTCAACTACACGCCATCCCACACTTGCCCCTAATCGTTTACCTCTTAGTTCTATCTCCCCCACTCCTTTCTCGTATTGAACCTCGTCATTTGCCTCTAAACATTGGTATTCATTGTTTAAATGTATAAAAACCAGGGACGTCAGATTCTGATAATAAGTACTTTGTAGTATGCAGAAAAACATACAAGAACACTTTAAAAGAACATTGACGAAAAATGAAGAAAAAAAAACGATGTGTGAATACGATGGGCCAAGATGCCATCTAGTATATTCTTCTAGTATATTCTTTAAACAACCACAGACATTATGTTTCTGGTTTAGAAAATATGTGTTTTGAATTTAATTTTGTTAGTTTTTAATGTGAATTTAGGACAGAAATGGAAAAAATAAGTTCGTTAAAAGTCCTTTTATCGCTTGATGAAGCAATAATATTAATGAAGATACAATTGGGTACACTCACCTTTCGATTACAATATCCATTCAAATATTAGACCTTCTGTTCTTCATATTCTCTGTCAGTTCATAAAAGGTGCTTTAGTTTTTAAAGGGTTAAATGAGTTGAATATCCGAATTCACTGTTTATGACGCATATAAACTAGAGTTGGGCGGGGTGATGATGATACTGTCGTCTGCGTCTACTGCTGGACGGTGTTCCGAAACTGGATAAAGGACGATAACTTTAGCCGTACACACACTGGATTTTACTCCTGGGGCATGACCTGAACTTTGAACTCAGTCCACAAATTCGAGCTCTACGAAAAGTTTGCTCAGGTTTTTTTGTAGTTTATATCTGTAAAAAAAATATTTAAGGACGGCGTGATCGAATGGTAGAACGAAAATCTCGAGTTCGGATCTTGTGTCCGTCGGACGTTCCTGAACCCACCCTGCTCTGATGTGTACCTGACTCACGTTAGGGAAAGTAAAGTTATAAGGGCATAGTGCTGTCCACACTATTCTTTTATTTGAGACCGTGAAGCAGGTGAACTCTACTTCACTTGCTCCGTGGACCGTTAGGTTTGAAAGGGTACCTTATTTTTTTTTTGTATCTGAAAATGTTCAATTCTCCGTCTTTATTTCATTTTCATTTTAGAGGTAAGTATAGAATTGCAATTTTAAATCGATTAAAAACATAATTATACAAACATAGGCTTCTCAGCTGTAAATTAATATAGGCAATGTTTTAAAAAATCATACAATGTGCTATATAAACTGTCAGTATTGATAGCTCGTGATTCTATGTCGGAGTCGTCAGCACTCAAATAACGTTATTTTCATGTAATGTTTTAAAATGCGTTTAGGATCTCAGTAACTTGCAGTACATTTGATTATTCTAGCTTACAGATTTAGGCTCAGTAAGCTTACTAGCTTTAGGTAGTACTAAGTGCATGACCTAGTCAACTGTTGTTCATGTTTTAGTTAGGGTTGGGCAAGGAAAATAGTGGCGAGATTAAATTAGCACAATAACAGACACGTTATTTACTTTTTTTAGAACCACGAACATCTTAGATATTTTTATTATAAAAATAGCAGTTATAGACACGCAATAAGCTTTTTTTAGAACCACGTCAATCGGGAATATATTTTATTCTTAACGGAAATACCTAGCATTACATTAAGAATCATTCCCCAAAAAATGTATACAAGTACGTGGACGTTCAGTCTAAAGTCGGAGCTAGTTAGGTTGTATTGAGTAAATGATAGCGTTCTAATGTCTCCATTATCATAATACTGTTAATGACGATGAATATTTATTACCGACTAAATGTTTATTACAAGATAACTAGTACACTAAGGTTTGTAAATATGGTATTTTAAAATAATTTATGTATTTAAATTATCTGTAATTGTTTTTAAAGTCGTAGAAATTTAATCAGATAAGGTGTAACATACAATTTTGTTCAATGGCATTTAAGGTTTGTATTAGTTTAGTACTCAGATTTATTAGAACGATGAGGGATGTAATTATGTCCATTGTATTTGATGAGTATTACCTTAGTGTTATTTGTTTGATAAAAGAAAAAAAAAGTGAAATGATCGTCTAACGAAGGTATTACCTTAGTGTCATGTATTCAACTCTGGATAAAGTAAGGAAAGCTGAGAAAGGTCCAAACATTCATAATCTATTAATATCTTAAGAACTTATATTAGTAATATTAAGGTTTAAAAATTCATCTATTAAAGAGTTTAACGTATACCACAAATTTTTAATTAAAATTAGTTCTTTTTTTATACTTTGACCAAGTGTTCTATATATAATATAATATTATGATGGACTTATAATTTTAACGGTATTTAATTAAAATAACATAAGAAAAAAAAAGCAATTATCAGATAAAGATTTAGATATGTGAAATAAATTATAAATCATTTAAATAAACTTTTGATTGTCTATTTTTAAATCTGTGTACACATATTTTCAGATCATTCTGGGGTTTCCCGGACTGAATATAAATAATACATACAACCACACAGAAACAAGTCGAGTAAGATATATTTTAAAATATATTTCCCGAATAGAATTCAGTTCTATATTAAGCCCATGGACATACCCACTGTCCACTCATGAGAGATAATAAGTTTATGTCTTATTAATACAAAATTTAAAGATTAATGATTAATTATTTTTTTTACATTAGAATTTTAGAATTCTTATGCATTATATTTGAATGACTTTTTTTTTCCAGAGAAATTGTCGCTTTGAAAGATGAATTGTCGAAAGTACCTAATATTTTAGAGAATGGTTGTTACCGAACGCAGAAATAAAAGTCACTATTCCCCAAACTGCGTTTGGTGGCAAGATTTTATTAAAGAACTGCCCCGAGTAGGAACGTTTAGATCATTTCCAACAACATGTGAAGCAAGACCAGTCTCGCTAGCTGAAAATGGTTTTGTCTACATTGGGCAGGGTGATGACGACACTGTCGTCTGCGTCTTCTGCTGGACAGAATTCCGAAAGTGGACAAAGGAAGATGACATTAGCACTACACACAGCAGCGCCTGCCCTACCTGTCCGTTGTTCACTGGTATCAAGTGTGAAAATAAGCCCATACACGGTGGTACTCGGGAAAAATTGCTTCAGAGTGGAAAGCAATTTTTTGACAGACACATTGAAAGTATCGATTCTTCACGGGGTGGTAAAACAGATGTAGAGCTACTAAAAGAAAGCTCACAACAAGGTTTGCATCTTAATGTATCTCCATCGATATCTGGAGATTGTTTACAGTATTTCGACAGCATGAAAAGCGGTGAATCAATGTTAGGGGCGGTAACTAAAACAGACAGACCAGATAAAACAAAGGGAGAAGAACCAAGCAAAGCTGAGGAACCTAGGCAGCTCTGTATTACATCTCAGAATGATATCCCAGAAAAAATAGAAAATAAATTAATAAAAGGTAAAAAAAACAATAAATAAATAAGCATTTATTTCCTTATTTGCTATCTGAGCTGTGTTCTTTTAAACTTACAAATTGTAAGTTTGTTATATTTTTAAAAGAGCAACATTTAGCATTGCATACAGCTCAGTTATTACCTAAATATAACTTATATTCCGTCATTAGTACGCTCTAAAATGGCTATAGACATTTTAATCGTGTCTGTCGATTAATTTTAATTTTCCAAACTATTATTTTCTCAGGTTGTGCAGCTTTAAAACCTCATCATAAACTAAATTATGGACCCGCTGCCAACGAAAGGTGTGCGTTAAATCACAAATCTCATCCTGAAATTAAAGGCAACATTGATTGGATGGAAAGAGAATTTAGGATTGAATTACGAAAGATTTTAAATGGTTGTTGCTCTGATAGATCATGGGAAAATAAGTTTGATAAAAAATTAAAATATTCGGAAAACGACGCTGGTAATGAAATAGCATTGTCGGCTGAGTTTTCAAAGAACGGTAGTTTCCCTAAGGTAATGACACAAATAGAAGTTCACTATCTGCTTGAATTTGTTCCCCCTAAAGTGGTAGAAGGAATATTGTGGGAATGTCTATACATAGAACAGTTTAGACTAGTTACGTTCTGCAAATACCCCATAACCGGCGCACAGTCGGCATTGGTACTTGCGGCTAACGGTTTCGTGTATATCGGCACAGAGGACGACGATGCCGTTCTCTGTTGTTTTTGTTGTAGGGGTAAGAAAAACTGGTTGAGGAATGAAGACGTCAGCAACACGCATACAGCTTTGTCGCCAAACTGTTCCATGGTGACTGGAATAAATTGTAAAAATGCCCCGATCGTTTCTCGCGTGAATGGAAATTATAGTTTTGACCAGCTGGTTGAAATACTTCAAAATAAACCCGGCACTACAAGCACAAACAGCGAGCTGCCTACTGCGAATGGTGCATGTCTAGAAAATTTCACTGAAACGCCAGGCCGAAATCAAATTAAGACTAGTACGACCAACAGCTATGTAAATCTACAAGAAACGCCAGCTGTTTCCGACAGAGTACTTTCTCTTACGGCGTCATCACCAGTTGTGAACTGTCCGCAAAATGACTTAGCACAGTCTCCATTCCAACAACCTCAGACAATGCTGGCATCCAATTGTAGAAATGCTGAAGGAGGCGACCCACGGCCAATACCAAATGAAACCCCAGACGCCGCGGACGTTGAACGTGGCGACACAACGGTAACGCTCCCGAGACATTCTCATCAGCTGCATCACCACATGAGGGCGCCACTTCCTGATAACAACCGACATCACGTTCGTCTAAGTAAGTGAAAATTATATACTTACTAGACCACCCGTCATCCTTTGGATAACTGTGGGTTTCGGGGGTCATCCATAAATGACATCACGTCTGTCACTTATCGTCACAAAACACCAGACCCCACATTAAAAAAGACGTCACACCTCAGACGTTTTTGTCTTTTAAAAACGCCTACTTCGGCTGAGCATGGGTCTGACAACACTATATGCTGACGTCACAGGTGAAATCTATACCTAGCCAACTCTACTTCACCTGCCCAGTGTCCCACCAAGTCTCAGGCAACATGATTTTATCGTTTTAAAACAATAATTTCAGCCGAGCATGGCTCTGACCACACTATCCCTTCATACACTGAGGACACAGAAACAGGTGAACTCTACGTCACCTACTTCCCGCGAAGTCCCGATAGGCAATTTTATCATCTAAAAAAAAAAAATCTCATTGACGTGGTGTGTCTCGAAAACGTACCATCCGCATGGTAACTATTACACTATCATCTCAGCTATGTAGGCACTTAGCATTTTGTCAGAATCACTGCAAAGTAAGAAACTTTAGTTACGCGAATTTTATCCCAAATTAGCCAATTCCATAGGTAAACAAACAAAGATTTATATAAAATAATTAAGACATTAAATCTCACAAAATATAAAACTCTCATATTGGAAATGGCATTAACATGTTTATTGATATATGAAGACAAGAATATTTTAATTTTACAATCTTAAATGTCTTTACCGTATTTGTCTGCATTGTGAGGTGAATAAGGGATTACAACCTGTTTAGGATTCTAAGCAAATCTTTTTTAAGTATTTCAAATTTTAATTCCCATTTAAATAAAGCGAATTCGCCGTGATTTTTAAATAATAGTGTTAAAAGAATTTTTTATAACAGTTTACATAATTGTAATTAATTTGTTCCGCAATCCCAAGGACTCTTGAGCTCCGATATCACCATATCAGAACGTTCTGAGGGTGGAGAGCTGGCAGTGGCACCGGAAGTCGAACCAGAAACAGACCACGCCCATGTCGCAAGTGACCAGGAAACGGGCTTCAGCGGAGTGTTGACTGTTCGGATATGGGATACACCTAATTCAACAATAACACCGACAGAAGGTTAAGTTTTTTAAAATGTTTACGTTATTTCTGAAAATATAAACCTCGTATTTTAATGTTAATAATACCAAAAAAATAAGGACGGAGTGGCCTAGCGGTAGAGAGCTGGACTGCTAACCCGTAAATCTCGAGTTCGAAGTTCAAGTCAGTAGACCGTCCCTGAGTCCACCCAACTCTGATGGGTACTTAACTCACATTAGGGAAAGTAAAGGCGGCTGGACATAGTGCCGACCACACTATCTCTTCATATGCCGAGGTCACAGAAACAAAGGAACTCTACTTCACTTGCCCTATATAGACCGTCAGGTTTGAAAGGGAACTTTTTTATAATACCAAAAATTGAATTAGAAACATACACTACATTGATTTCTTTTTTCAATACACCTAAGACGATTGGTTTCATGTGGTGGGGTTTCAGGGCACTCTGATGTGGATGGTCACTCTACAAATTCTGCAATGGCGTCTGCAGGAGAACTGATGACAGAACACGATGGTGTCCCAACTCGGCAGCAAGTATTGACCAATCAGGCGGCACGTCACTCGAGCATCAGAAACCCAGCGATCATCGGAAGGATGTCAGCACATAGTGCAACACCACCTGAAGGTTAAGTTCCCACTCTGATAAATGTATATATGTACCAAGCAATTTGCTATATGGGTGATATAATTTAAATTTATGGGCTTAAATTTAATTTGACTAACGGCCTATAAAACCTTCTCTTAAGTAGATCCTATTAAAAAGGCACACACACACATATAGGTATATATATATATATATATATATATATATATATATATATATATATATATATATATATATATATATATATATATATATATATATATATATATATATATATATATATATATATATATATATATATATATATATATATATATATATATATATATATATATATATTTATATATGTACGCGTATCATACACTTTCTCTTATTTTCTATTCCATCACCTACCTATGACAGTTAGTTTACGAAGCTTACAACCAGTGATAGCTATAATTGAACTGCTACCAGAACTAGAACATCGAGTGCTGGAATATGCTCAACTAATGTTAAGTAGAGGTGAACATTTTTTTTGTAACTTAGTTTCTAAAAACATTTTATGAAATTAGTTCGGAAAAATTGTTTAACTTATAACTTTTGTAAAATAAAGATATTTTCGGTTACTTAAAAACCGACAATTAATCATGCTTTGACATTAGATCTTCTAAACCGTGAAGGGTTAAATTATCCACAAGGAAAAACAAGGAAAAGTATTGGTTAATTCGTTACATCTAAATTCTTTAGAAGTTTCAGTCAGTGTTTCTTCCAGACTTTTTCTCCGGGGGGGGGGGGGGGGGGGGGGGTGAGGGCACTTGAATTTTTTTTGGGGGGGGGGGCGTCAACATTTTTCGGGGGGGGGGGGGCGGACACTAGTAAAAGCGTAAGTTTACTATATAAAATAGACTTTCTTCGGGTAAATGTGCAGGGTGTGTTAAAAATCTAAACAATTCTTTTAATTTTTAAAGGTGAACAACTGACAACAAAGAAACTTCTTAAAGGTCTCAGTAAGCTACATTGACTTCATCCAAGGTAGGCTGATGTGGTTACTTAGAAAGCTGTTACCGTTTCACCGAGAATGTGGACTTTAATATGGGCTTAAAAGTAGACTGACTTCTGTTGTTTTTCTCATACTCCGTTATCCTAGTCATATAAGTAATTACAAAGATTATTCTTTTACGGAAGAAGTCATCTATTATACCACAAATTTATATTCGATAATTTATTCAGTTATTTTCGCTATGTTGCAGGAAAATATTACAGTTTTCACACAGCCAAAGAAGATTTCAATGAAAAATGGTTTACTGAACTCGAGGAAAATGAAAACTATATAGGCCTAGGCCTATATACTAAAAAAAACTATTTATAAAGTGCTGTGTGCTTGATAAATAATTTATTAAATATTTATTAACACATACACTACTTTGTTACATTCATTATTTGTTTTTAGTTTCAACAAATAGGACTAAAATGTTGTACCCACTAGCCACTATATCGATTCAAAGCTAATATATAGGCTAGATTGAAATAGCCTACACATTAAATGGGGCATAAATACTTACTTTTCACAAAGGTGTTTCCTAGGTACAAATATATACAAATAGAGAACATTAGAGTACAAACCAATGATATTTCAGCCTCACGTTTTTTAATTGGTAAAGTGTAGCAAAACAATACGTATTAAAGTGAAATAGAATGGTATTAAAAACGCCCTAGAATGTACAAACAATCGATAGATTAACACAGTTCAAACATTACACCAAACAGTGGCAAAGCACACAAACTGACTTGCCGCTTCTCTTTCACGTTCGACTCCACTAATTTTTTGCCAGCTTGCAAATTTCATGATCTAAAATGATTTCAACCTGTTTTCTTCTAAGTCTATGGTGCTCTACAGCCTACCACATTGCACCATAGATACACTAAATATAAAAAAATATAATGATCCTCATTCGTGTATGTGCACCGTTGCTACCAATCATTCAACTCTAGCCTACTCTCCTGAGTCAAATATTTCAGTCTCTTTTTGGATTTTTTTTTATTATTGTGAGTGTGGTATCCAGCGGTGCTATAATGATGGCACCATCTGCAGGAGAGGTTTTAGGCTTTATAAGGCCCCAATAAGCTATTTTCAATACGGGACCCCTTATGAATCAGTGCAAAATATTCGCAATTTTTAATGAAATATATTTTAAAACGGTTATAAAAGAAAAATTTACTTTCTTAATTAAATCATGGCTTCTCAAACTGTGTGCCGCTTTTCGCGCTCGTGGTGCCCGGTATATTTTGAAGTATTTCGACCAGCTGATCAAAGCTATAATTTCCATTCACGCGAGAAACTATCGGGACATTGAAAGGTTAAATCAAGTTGTTCTTGGAGGTGCAAAGGAAACAATACCTTTTAGCAACAAAGAGTGGTTGGAGATCAAAATAAGTTTAACCTGAAGCGTCGGGGGAAACATACGAATAATATCTCTTTTCATGACAATCTCGGGGCATTTTTATCAACGCTGAAAAATTGGGGAAGGAAAATAAATATTCGAAATAATTTTCTCAATGTCTTGCACGACAAAGCGGCAACGCCTGTAGTATTGTTATTATTACGGATCGGCCCTGTTCGACTGAATCCCACTGCCTGTAAAGTAAGAAAGGACACGGGACTTTTGGAACTTTTAACCATTTTCTGTCTAAAAATATTTATATAACACAAATATTGAAATTCAAATGTAAACGTTTACATTTTTTTAAGTGGGAAAAAGGGCCCCTTTTGTTCCCTGGCCCTTGTGCCTTGCTTACGCTAGCTTTTTCGGCATCTACGCCACTGGTCTCCGGGTGGATTACACCTAATCGCGGGGGGAAAAGGCGCCATTTCTATTTTTTAAAAAGAGCTTGTTTAAATTAATTTTTATTTAGCGAAAAAGGCGCCATTTTTAAAAAGGCTCGCAAGAGGAGCTGTCGCTGCCACTGCACTTCCCATGGAAACGCCACACGGCCCCAATATAATTATTTCCATTATGACTATGCAGTGACGTGCAGACCTATGTAGATGCCCGGGGCCAACTCAAGAGGATGATGCCCCCATACTATATATATATATATATATATATATATATATATATATATATATATATATATATATATATATATATATATATATATGTGTGTGTGTGTGTGTGTATGTATGTATATATTAATAAAGCTTAATTAGAAATACAAATAGAGAATCATTAATGGGTAGAACTTCGTGGCGGGAAAATAGTTGGGTACATATCGTGGGGGGGGGGGGGGGGGGGGGGGGCTGTATGCCATGCCCTAAAAAAGAGTGTCATCGGTTTTTGTATTACCTCACGGGACCTCACTTCGCCCCCCCCCCCCCCCCCCAACAAAAAAGTCTATCGTCTCCCCCCACCCGAACGAATTGGAATTTATATATGTGACCTAGGCTAGTTGCATCTTTCCTGTTCGCAACGCCAAATGTGACCTTCCCCGAGTCTATCCTGCCCGACAACGCCAATTGTAACGAGTTGAACCACTCATGCTACACAACATCGACTACAGTAGAAAGACTCGAAGATGCAGGTTCGCTATTGATCCTTTTATTACATGAATCAAGAAATGCTTCAATATAACACAATGAATCAACAGAAATGTTTCACAATAATAGTCTGAATCAACTGACCCCCTAACAGTCCTCACTAGGCTTCATATAACTGAATCCACATGTCTATTGTCCTTCTTAACACAATATAACCATCTTGAGTATGTCACACAGACTGACTGATCTAAAGCAAGCGATGAAACGGAAAGAGCGGTAAGAGAGCGATTTCAGTCGTCCCCTCCTATTTATGCCTTGTATCCGTACTCGTCTGCATACTTGTATTCCTCCGTAATCGATACTTGTACTCGATGTCTCCGACCACTAGTTACGCAGTTCTAGCGTACAATCCGTGAAATAACATCTGCGTCCTATCGATCAAAGTTGACAGGCCTTCTAACTCTCTTCGTACCGTTTCCCAAAATAGCACGCGTTGGCTTTGAGATTGTTATCAGTCCGACTTCAATAAGCCACCTGTTATCGGTTGCGTCAGACTGCAATACTGCGTCTCGGCTTCTCGTTCGTTATCAGATTTGTAACTAGTGGCTAGGCCTACCCTAGTCACATCCACCCCTGCCTTTTTTTGTGTGTTTTCAACCACAAACAACGCCTGGCAGGTGCACTCCTCCAGAGTCAATCGCATAATCGTAAAAAAATTTTATTGTTCCACTCACTGTCCACGACGTCCCATTCGTATACGATTGACAGTTATACCTATTTCACATCTCAACTGTGTCTACATCGTCTTCCTGAGACACAAAACAGTTCTAGAATTCACATCCACCCTTTTCGTTTGGTGCCTTCACCAGTTCACTTTTATAGCTTTTTTTTGAACAGTCTGTTCTCATACCAGCGCGACCAAGAAAGACTTGATGGTTGCTGACAAAAAATTTCGTCTTCCTTCTGTTCCTCAAACTTCTCCGCGGACCACTTATCTGATGGTCTACTGTCTCTCTGCTTCTGGAAGGAACGGGATCCTCTTTGTTGCCGTTATCCTCCACTTGTGTATCGCGGTTGTTCTGATGATGGTGATATGGTTCCGGGATGGGTATGTGAATTTCCGTTATAGTTTCCGGTTCCCTAATTGTCTTGGATTTCCTTGTGTGTAACTGCTCTTCTTGCCTATTCCAATATTTCTTTAATTGAGCAATATTCGCCCACCGATCCGGTTTGGCGTGATCGATGGGTCTTATCTTAAAGGGGCCACCTGCTACTTTAGGCATCTCCACGACTTGCCATATCTCCTGTCCCCAGAGATCGTGGATTTTGTTTCTGCCTAACGGGTGGCTACGCAGTAATACCCTGTCATTCAGTTTGAGTGGCGGGTCCTTTGTCTGTACCGGCGGTTCCCTTCGCCGTGCTTCATGTTCCAGTCTTTCCTGTACTACCCTGTACATTTCTCTAATTCTTCTCATATGTTCATTCACATATTCCAGTGCGGTGTATGAGCCAGTCATACTCTCCTTTTTTCCTAAGAACAAATCAAGAGGGAGTCGAGCCTCCCGTCCGAACAGCAACATGTATGGCGTAAAGCCGGTTGTGGCATGGGGTGTGCAGTTGTATAGATATACCAACTCTGGGAGAAAATCAGGCCAACGTTTTTTCTGTTCAGGTTCTAGCGTACGCAGCAAATCATGCATGCTGCGGTTGAACCGTTCACACTGTCCGTTTCCTTTCGGATTAAATGTGGTTGTTCTAGATTTGTTGATCCCGTAGTGGCTGCACAGTTGGTTAATTACTTCTGACTCGAAAGCCCTTCCTTGGTCAGAATGCAATTGTCTTGGTATGCCATATTTGATGAACCAATGTTCTATTAAGACCTTTGCCACTGTTTTGGCGGTCTGATCTCGCGTGGGCACCGCCACCGTCCATTTGGTGAATACATCAGTCATTACCAACACATGTTCCGTCCCATCCGATGATTGCTCCAACGACGTAAAGTCCATAGCCACAATCTCTAGTGGTTTTGTCGCTAGTAGGTGTCCTGATGGCTGTCTCATTTTGACAACTGGCATTTTCGCATGCTGACACCTCACACAAGCCTCACAATGGCGTTTGACCTCCATTTCCATATTGGGCCAGTAACACCTCCGTCGTAATATTTTGTGCGTCCTGTCCTGACCCTGGTGTCCTGCCCTGTCATGTGCCAACCTTAGCACTTCTTCTCTTAACTGTCCAGGCACCACCACCTGGAGTATTGTCCCATCAATTTGGTCATGAATTCTCCGCATGAGAACACCATCCTCTATACTGAGACGGTCCCACTGACTCAGTATTTTCTTTGTTTCTCGACCAAATTGTTCTCTTTCCCTTCTTCCTGGGAATTTTTGTTCCTGGACGTATTTCAATAGCGGTTGTAAGCCACTATCCGTTCTCTGGGCATCTCTTATCTTTTGGTGATTAAGGCAATTAAAATCACTATTGTCCATATGTCCGGGTTCCGTGGATATGTGCTCCACCCCGGTCTGCCCGTTCTGCATCACTTGTACCCCATGAGGGATATCTGTTGACGCTCTGACCTCACATATTCCTGTCAGTGTTTCTTCCTCATCACCCGGTCTCTCGTAAGGATTCCTTGATAAGGCGTCCGCATTGCCATTGGACCGCCCCGGGCGATACTTTATCTCTAGGTCAAAGAGTGCCAATTCTGCTGCCCATCGCTGTTCGATGGATCCCAACTTTGCTGTCTTTAGGTGACTCAAGGGGTTATTGTCAGTGTATACCACACATTTAGCA